AGATGTGTATAAGAGACCAACAATATTATTACTTGTCGACTGACAAGAAAACAGATAAACATCATAAGAGGCAAAGTATCAATACTGACGTCTGCTTACACATGTGAGCAACCATTACATGTTTAAAAGCTAAAAACAAAACATCTTCCTTCAATGAAAATCAAATATCCACTCACGCTGCAGCCGATGCAAATGCATTATAAACAACAAGCCACGTGCTATGCAGACATGCCAAATGCAGATACAGCAATCTATGCAGATGATATGCAGCGATCCATATAAAAGTAATAGGGAACACGAAATACGGTAAAGCATCATTCCAGTCCATGACATAATTATCAAAATCATATACAGTAATTTAGTTTTATATATTTGTTTCATATGTATTAAAGTTTTAAAATGGTACTTCTTTGTTTTTGTTATGAATAAATTACTTCCCAAAAAATAATTAGTAGGAGTTTTAAATTTAATAATTGACAGACAGTAACATAATAATCTAAAGAGACAGTAATACTGTATACTAGAAAGATTATATCTAAATTTAAATGTCAAAAAATCTAACAGTGCTCTTGTTATATGTCTGAGTTTGGCATCCAATATTGTTCACCCTCCAATTCAAGACCACATTTGGGACCTGAAAATCTGGGGTGGTCTCGGAGTTGGTCCCCAATTAGAGGGCTAGCTTTGTGTTAAAAGGTTGAAGATTGATATTTGGGTCTTTTAAAAAGTGGTCTCGAATTAGAGGAGTCTTAGAATTTGAGGGGTCTCGAATTGAAGGGTGCATTGTACAACAAAATCTAGGTTAGCTCTTGTGTGTTTTAGACTGACGGTCTACAAACTGTAGCTATAGAATGGAGCACTTGCCTTCCTATCCTGTGGTTCTGGGTCCAATTTCTGTTATGGTAGCTGGACATTTTTTGTGACTAAAAACAACCCTACTCTCTAAGCCCCTAGTGAATGTTTGTCTTGTGTAGGGGATTACCACTTAGATGTGATTAAGTTTGCTATTAGCATATTTTTAGTGCTTGGGCCTAAATATTACATTTTTAAATAAAAAGATAGTTCAGGCCTTTTATTTATAACACTTTTCCAGTGGGTCAGGGAAAAGCCTGTTAAATTGTACTAATAATAATAAAATAACAAAAATGATAATAGTAGTAATTATTATTTTTTTATTATTTATTATTATTATTATTATTATTATTATTATTATTATTATTATTATTATTATTATTATTGTAATTATTATACATCTGTTTCTTTGCAGCCCATTGGGTCAAACATGGAGTTACAAGAAGACCATGAAGTCTGCTCCTGGTGGGACATCTCGCATTGGAAGGAAAAGTAAAATTCCCACTGGTAATGTTTATGAATTTATTCAATTGTAGTTAGATGACATTTTTTTTGTTAATAAATTTCAATATTTGGTTATGTATTTTTTATTAGATAGATAATAATACAGAGTTGAATTATAATTGTAATAAACAGTAATTCAATGTGTTTACTAATACTACTTTCTAGCTTTTGGATTTTGTTTGAGAGTCAAATGACCGAGCGGCTAAGGCAAAGGCGCTGTAACCTACAGCCATAATATTGGTGCTGGTTCGAACGACATGCTTGCCTATGGTACCGGATGTAGAATAAGTCTTCTCGGATAAGGACCATGAACCGTAGGCCCAGTGTACACAACTGGCTCATGTGTGGGAGTTATCCCGGTGTACTGGTCCATAGCCCCTGTTGTAGACAGATGAGAGTAGCTGGTACCAGTTTACCAGCCAGCTGAGACACGAAGAGACCCTTAGGGGAGAAGAAAGTCACTTTGAGCACTCTGATCTTCATGAAATAGTGCTATATAAATGATGTTTTGTATGTATGATTGAGGGGATGACTGAAATTTAATCTAAGGCACAAAATGCATATTTGACTAAAAACTTGGGAACGGTTAATGAGATCCAGGTTTTTTATATTTAAAATACTGGGAGAAAAAGAGGCGTAACCACCCTTTTTAAAACATTTATTTATGTCTTTTGTCTTTCAATTTTTTTTTTTGTTCAGGTACAATGGTATTAAATGATGGTCTTGAAAGATCAGAGATGGATGTAGATGATTTAAGAACAAGCACCGAACAAAATGAAAAGAAAGTGCGAGAGTCACAACTACGTTCCAATCAGGCCCAGCAGAAAATGAGAGAACTCACTCTGAATATAAGGTGAGTTTCATTTATTTTTCTTCAAACTGATATAAATAATATTTAATAATGTTTTTGGCTTCATTGCAAGTAAAATATTTAAAATGTTTATTTTTGCTCATGTATTGTTTTCCCCTCATCTGCGACTAAAGCTTTGTATTTTCAAATACCTGAGTATGTGATCTTTAAAATGAGAGGTCATTCATTCAAATTGGACATTTCAAACCTAAGTTATTGGAAAGTGAAAGTACAGTACTCTTAGAGTCAAGATAAACAGGATTTTGTGTAATTGCCTTTCAAAGTTTTTTGTGCATACATTGTTTAATAGAATGAACTATGAAAAATAACTTTAAATAAACAATTTGTTAACCACTTCCAGAACTAATACTTTGGGACATGATTAATAAGACATTAAACTGTTGACCTACAGTGAAAACAAATTTTGATTTTTTTTAATCAATTTTTTGAGCTCCCATATTTTATAGCTCATTTACTCAATACTAGACTGTGCGACAACTTTACCATTTCGCCACAACATGCCTCATATATGGTCGATGTGTGATGTCATCATTAGATTCTCTCATTATCACTCTGTCCTGCCATAGTCGTATCCCTTATATTTTATGTACTGCTTCCAGAAAGTTCATTGTTTGTACTGTAGACTACTCACATGGACTTCTTTTGCTTGATAGATACTACAGTAGTTAGCTAATTCTTTAATACAGTGATCCTGTCTGATTTCTGAATTGTACTTCCCATCTTAATGTCTTTTAAAAGCTTCAGTATATTTCTGTGAGATTCTTTTGCTCTGTAATTATTGTAAATCAAATAAAAATTGTATAATCAAAATAAACTGAATGGGACTACACTGTATCACAGCCAAAATCTACATCAAAATTCAATCAATGTATTTCTATGTTTTTGTTTGTATGTAATGCAGGCTAAAAGAGGAGCTCATTAGGGAGTTAGTGAAAACTGGCAAAGAGTCTGAAGCCATGAATAAGATGTACACAACGAAGATTAAAGAACTAGAGAAGGTATGTACATACATGAAGAGAGCAAAAGATATTTTTGTAGACTATATTTATAGAGGGTGACCCTTCCAGCTTACCTGATATTCAGGGGAAAAAATAAGAGGCTTCATAAACCAAGTCTCATAAACAAGGTTTAGGTAGTGGGCTGTCACAGGATTTGTACCAGGATAATGATATACTAATGATATAAATTTTATTTATAGGAGTCATCGTTGGCCAAGAAGGATTTGATGGAAGCACAGCATGCACTGCAGGACTTGGAATCCAGGGGACAAGAAGAAACTAAGCAAAAACAAAAGCTCAGAAGTGAATATAAAAAGAAGATGGAAGAGGCAAGAAATAAGATGAAACTTCTAGAGAAAAAACAACAGGTTGGAACAATTTCATCAACATATATTACTGTAATTTTGTCAAAGCAAATTTATTATTGTTGGCAGAGTATTATAGTACACACTGAATTTGATCCAAATAATTTGTATTGTTGCAAACCTTTTTAACTTATTATATTATTGTTGTCTTCAGTCTTCGTAAATTACTCCCAAGAGTAGCCTAAAAAAAAGCTGTTCTGAGAGGGTTAAAGCAAGGAGAGAACCCTGAATAGATAAACAGAACATTTCGAAATTTAAAAAAAAAAAATTTAAAAATGCCTATCAATATTTTGTCATCATGACATTATTGCAGGACACGAATAAGATGGTTAAGATCCAAACCCAGAGTGAGAAACGTGCGGCAGAGTTGGAGGTGGCCATCGAGAAGATGAAGAACCATCAGGAACTGATGCAGAGAAGACTGAAGGAAGAGAATGAACGAAAAATCAAGTTGGAGGTAGGCTCTGCTAAATATTTTGATGTATTTGGTCTGAATTGTTACTGCATTGCAGAAAGAACAGCATTGGGGCACTATTTGTGTTTTTCATTTTTTTCTTCCCCGGATGTGCACAGCTGGCACAGTATTTCATACGACTCCTGATCTATTTATTTTCAATACATTTATCTTTTTTTTTTCCTGTATTGGTATTCAGACAACTCCGGATCTATTTATTTTTAATACATTTATCTTTTTTCCCCTGTATTGGTATTCAGAGAGATCTCAAACAAGATCAAAAGAGAATCAAGGAACTTGAAATCAGAAATTCGCAACAGAAGAAGATTCTAAGAAGGAAAACTGAAGAGGTAAGATCACAGTATGCCAACCTAATAATTGTTTTGGAAAATACTGTTGGAACACACTTCTACTGGTCTCCATATTAGTCCGGACTCATCAATGAAACTACATTTTAAAAATAAACACTTAAATAGGTATTTGCTTAAAACTTCATTATAATAAATCAACTCTATAGAAACATTTATAATAGTTAAGTGAAAGTAGTTAGGCCCAACCATGTAATTGTTGGCCCTGAAACATAGACTCAGAAATACATGGTTTGTGTCCATGGATAGTTTTAAGACTATTTAAATACAATTTTTTAAATTATTTAATGATGTAAAATCTCATAACTTATTTCTTAGTTTAGATGGAATGTATATAATGGTATTTTATTCAAAATTCAAAAATTCATAGATAGCATAACACATAGCAGCCAATAAGGCTGAATTACGAATTATGTTACAGCATCAAAATAAGAAATTTACATTAAGATTCACATAAAATTGTTTAGATAAAAAAACAAGAGAAAACTACTGAATTATAAATAATTACTATAGCAATTATTTTTTATTGTTATAATTATTATATAGTTATAAATGATTGCTACAATTATAATTATTATTATACTTATTATAATTATTAAATAATTGAATTTATTGCATCAAAACTATTAAGTTAAAGAATTATGAATTGCCTTATCATCAATAACATCAAAAAGCATGAAACAAATCAGATATAATAGGAAATTTTGATTAAAATTACAGAAAAGAGGTTTTACAAATTCATACCAAAAAATACAAGCATTCACAAATGTGATAATAAAGTTCTATTTCCTTGGATGTTGTTTCAAATTTGAATGGTTAAAGGGAATGAGAAGTGATGATTTGTATTACAACCGGAACCAGGACAATTCCAGATTGAGAAATTGAATATCGATTATAGGGCTTAGATTCTGTCCTAACATCAAGAAACCTTAACTTAATATAAATAGCCTATTTCAGAGAATGATGAAGATGATTGAAGAGGATGATGGATGATGATGACGATGACTAATGTGAAGCATTAATGATTGTCCCAAGACTCAAAGTACTAATTATAATATTATTTCCACATTCCAGAAACATCAATCACTGAATATTACTAACAAGATGTAGAACACAGATTTTATAATGTTTATTATTCAGCACCATGATAATTTTAGAGTGATAAATTGTATATTAAAAATCCAATTGATACATTTGAAAGCATATTTAAGAGGTTGAATAATTTGCAACTTCCAGTAAGACAAGGAGAAGAAAATTTCGGATGAACCCGCTAATTCCAGAGTCTCTGTAAACAATACAGGAACATAATCGTTGATTTTGCTTATAAATGTTATGTTTTTAACAATCAGAATATTAATTTCTTTTTCAAGATTTTTTAGCTTAACTCAACCAGTTTGTCTTTAAAATTGTTTGCTGCAGATTGCTGCTGCCCATCGGAAGTTGAGGAGTGCAGGTGGTAGCACTTTCACTGACGAACAACTGAAGGTAGAAGAGCAGAAGAAATGGCTAGACACAGAAGTTGAGAAGGTTCTTGAAAGGAAGAAGAAAGTTCAGGAACTTGAAATTGTAAGTCACTTATACTCTATCCACACAATCAAATTTTATGGGACAAATTTGTATGATGTGCCCATATATGGGTATGATGATGTCATATGACACCCAAATATGGGCATATCACATTTATTTGTCACATACATCGATATTGTAGACAGAGCTTTTTAGTTCTAAAATTTTGAAACAATAAAACAATTAAAGCTGTGTTCACATTGGATTAAATTTGCTCCAACTAACTAAGTACCTGGTTACTTTGACCAAAAAATATCTGGTGTGAACAACCTGCGTAATGTTCTCCTTGGTAAAATTATGCAAGATGTACTGCAAGTGTAACTGAGTGAACATTTCCCAGGAAGAATATATGCTGTTTTTCGTAAGCAGGAAAGTCTGATATAAACAGTGCAACTCATTTAGATATTTCTGAGGGCATAGTACCACACTCATCACTTTACATTTCATAGAATGCCCCCCCCCCATTAGACTACAATACAAAATAATTGCCTCAATGCGATTTACATGAACAAAAATAAAAATAACCTTGAAATAATGTCCAAATGCTACATATCCTAATGCTACATAAATGCTACAAGGAAACTGAACAAAGAAAATATAAAAAAAACAGAAGAATCATTTTCAGTGCTTCGTTCTCCAGCACTTTGAAGCCTAAATGTATAGAGGGATACAAGTTGGAATCGGAGTGCGGAAGGCCTTCCAGATTTTTCAGGAAACTCCTGCAAGGTGTAGGAGACTTAGGACCCCTGCATGTATGTGCAAAACATTACCATCTTAAAACGTACTGCATATACGTCAAGACTCGTGCATTTGGCGTGAGACTCCCACGTTTGCGGTTTATCTCAAGCTCTCACGCTTGAATACCAAAATCACGCATAAATGTAATATTGCCTATAATAAAAAATATATGTATACTTTGTTGCTCTCCTGCTAAATATCTCTCATTACAGTGCTAAAAATAGGATGGTTTTGTTGTTACACATTCAAACACAAGTAAATGGTGGCTCACCGCACTCTGGTTGAGGTGGTTGGCTTTCTATTTTAAGTCACCGTCTCGATATATAAAATTTAATAAGGATCGGTAAATATTCGAAAATCTTTTTCACTAGTTTTTCGATGAGATTAGATAAAACTAGCTGCATCAACACTGAATGTGTCGTTCCTTTACAAAAAGCACTGTCAGTCAAAGAACACACTACACGCCCAGCTCATGTGAATGTGACAGGTTCGTGGACGGCAGAAACGTGCATTTTCAGGAAAAATAATGCGGATTCTCAACCTATTTTCAGTTGTAAAAATGCTAGCCTAAAGAATGTATTTCCGAGCATCTAGGGAAGGATTTTTCTGGGGGGCAGCATACCCATGACACCCAGGGGGAGGGGTTTTTAGAACACTGTCTCCCGCCTGCAAATTGGTCTAACTTGGCATCTATGCTACTGTGTATTTAAATGCAACAGCAGTATGATGTTAGATAAAGGTAGAGTTATCCTTCATCTTGGTCAAAGTTAGCCCAGTGCGAACACAGCTTTAGTTGTCAGCATATCTACAATCACCATACTGTAATTGTATAACAAAAGAGGTGGTTGCCTATAATGACGAGTTTATGTATTTCCCCCTTTATCAGCAGTATCAAAGCTGTGTGGACCTCACACCCTTTGTTCAGTACTTCTATTCCACCCAAGTATGTGTATTTTAAGTATGTAATTAACTAAACTGTTTAGTGCAACTAATAAATGTTCAATATCTGACCTTTAATGTGTTATGTATATTTCATTGCATTACTGTTAAATACTTAAATGTGTATTTTGCTATATGTACTTCCAATTGGGAGACACGTATTTTCATTACCTTTATTGACAATAATGCTATTTCTCATTTTGTATCTAATTACATGAACTACTGTATTATTAATTCCATAGGAACTGCAAAAGAGGGAGATTATTCTTGCAAAGAGAGAGGCCATGATAAGAGAGAAGAGCCAACTTGAGATTAAAAAGCTTAGATCTAGTACCATCCTCTCGCAGGTAATAAAATCTCCCATCACCTACTTTAATAAGTAGTGTCACATGTAGTAAACATACCTTATCTTAACATCTACTTATAGAGAATGTCTTACCTTCAATAACATAACTTATCTTATCACCTACTTAAAGGGTATGTCTTGCATGTAATAAATATCTCATCTCACCACCTACTTAAAGGAATAGTCTCAAATATAATAAACTTACCTGTGTTATTACAAACTTTGAGGGACATTCTTGCATGTAATAACATACCTTATCTATTGTTTGAAGGTTTTGCATACCTCATCTAATCACACTACTTAATGGGACAATGTAACATTTAATATACAGTACATACATTATCTCACCTCCTACTTAAAGGGCAGTGTAAAAAGCATACTGCGCAGTGGATGTGCAGCGACAGTGACACATACTGTATAAGTTTTGTATTGTATTTCTTTGTATTGGTTATTTGTTATTTGGTATTTATAGCGTATTTCTTATTTGTTACACAGCACTTTGTTTTCCCTGGCCATTTTATCCAAATGCTTAAGCGTAGTTGCTACTACAGTGACATAGTAGCAAGCAACCCCACCAGGTACCCATTTATAGTCCTGGGTGGAGAGAAGCAACGCTGATAAAGTGCCTTGCTCAAGGATACAAGCAAAATGCACAGCAAGCGATTGAAACCTCAAGGTTGGGAAACCAAACCGTTCCCGTTGAACTAAACTGGATTGAGGGATACCAAATGATCTGCTTCAGCTGGATGGCCAACCCTCACAAAACATTTTTGACATAAATAAACATATCTCACCGCCTCATAATTAAATCAATGCAATGATTACAATTCTATCCATCTTACAATCAGTAACCACGTTTACGGGAGAAAACACATGGTGTTTACATTACAGTAATAATAGACAGTAAAATTAATGTCTCAATCTAAATTATCAGTTGTGACAAAATTTAAGACTGCCACTTTAAAAGCCCTGTGGCAATGGTTCAATCCCAGTAGAAGATATATTGTATCATTTTGTTGTTAATAAACTTGAATTGAACTCTGCAAGAAACACTTGCAAGTGCTACATGTATCCGTGCATGAATGAGCATGCTTTCCCCACTAACAGGCACATCGATCATTGAGTACAATCTTACGTCAAGAGAGTGTTTTGATATTGTTGTACTAGCTTTGCCATGACCTGCCATAACTATCACACATGTTGTACTGTATTGTACATTAGGTTTTTACAGTTTTTAAAGGTATACTGTCTTAAAATCTTTAATAAAAATTCAATTAAAACATTGCCTATTGCTATTCGTTGTTGAAAGTGTACACTTTAGTATAAAGTTAGAAATTGAAACATTAAATGCTATATAATAATTTTATTTATTTATTTTATTAATTTGGGCAAAAAATGACATAGAACGCAATACAACTTTGAATGCGCATTGGAGTAGTAAAAGAGGTCGGAGGACTACTGTCCCCAAATGTCTACCACTCCAACATTCAAAGCATACATACAATAGAATATAATAATAATAATAATAATAATAATAATAATAATAATAATAATAATAATAAAAATAATAATAATAATAAATGCTATGATTCAATTTTATTGGCTGAAACCCAACAGTTATATTGAATTGCATTGTTGTAACTTGAGCAGATATCTATTATGAATGTGTGTTCATTATGAATTCATTTTATTATTAATTCACATTTTAACTGTAGCCAACTGCCAGCGAACATGGGTAAATCTGTGTATACATTACTAGATAACAACTACCGTACTCTCATTATAGGGAGCATTTTTAAACCAGATAAATTATTGTGAATTGACCAAAAAAAATAGACAATATACTGTGGATAACAGGATGCTGTGTTGTCCTTGTATGTTTGAGGACAGTATGTACCATGCGTCAACATTTCAATGTGACATTTAAGAAAAGCAGTTGGAGGAAATGACAATCATTAATTTTCGTATTCATTAATTCTGCAATCTTTCATTTAAAGCACTTTCGTTTCATGAGTTTCCGTGGGTACATTAATTAAATGATTCATAACTCAAAATGGTTTCAGGTTAATAAATATCAAAGATCATTCAAGCTAATTAGAGAAATGAGGTACAATTAATTTTGTTTATGGAATTGGTTAAATTTGTAGAAGTGTACAATTTGGAAACTAGAATGATGAATTTATTTTTTATGTAAATTTTTTGTAAAATTAGATCATTGAATTTGAGTTTAAAATTGCTTTCTTTTAAATGACAGTTGGTAGCTGTAGTTTGATTGGTGACTAGTATGCTTGGTCCTACAATCCCATGGTCCCAGTTGCAATTAAATTTTTAACTTTACTAAAACATTTTAATTTAAGCCTAATAATATAGCTTTGAGTGTATTTAGCAGTATATTTTGCGTGCACATAGCAGCTAATTTATTTTTAGCGTATGTATCAGTTGTGTTTGCATATAGCAGCTATGTATCCCGATGTTACTCAAAATATCTCGAAAGTGGTCCTGAGGATGTGGGGTGGGAGGGGAAGCCCCCGAAAACTATGAAAATAAGGGATTTTAAATTACTTATTTAATTGAGTTTAGAGTCTATTAAATACATATAATTTTTGTTTAGCCCAACAAATTTTTGTTTTTTCTGTGATGTTGGGGGGTGGGAAGCAGCTCTTCCTGACAGGGGGGGGGGACCTGTTCCCCCGGCTCCCCTACTGGACTTTTGTGGGTTATTCTTGCTGTATTTCTCACCAAAAAAGTCCAATCCAAGACTGTTTCCTTTTGTTTGAGTGATATTTGTTATGGTTGAAAAATAAAATAAATAAAATACATTCATTAAGTTAGTAATAAGAGCATTGCTTTGGTTTTGCAGGACATCCATGGACTAGCATTGAAGATTAAAGATGCAGACAGTGCAATAGAAGAGAAGAACCAAGAACTGAGAAACAGCATTGATGACTCAGTAGCAGTTAAGAAAGGAATGTTGAAAGCTCTTGTTCAGGACCGGTAAGTGTGTCTTAAGTATAATTTTCAATTACTACATTTTTCTGTTATAAAGATCATTTTACTATTTTTGTGTATTATTTTGTAAATTATTTGAAGCCAAAAGATCCTTTTTAAAAACAAGAATATGGTTTAATGCAAATTTCTATGTACTTTTAAATAAAGTTATGAATATCATTAGATATTATTAATTGATACTACATGCATTAAAATCCTATATTTTACTGCCAAATATATCTAAACATTCTCACTGCCATTATGCTTGTTTTATCATTTGTATTATAGGGACAAATTAGTCCAGCAGAGGAGCGTTCTAGATGAGAAATTGCAACTTGGAAGCATATTATCGCCACACGAAGAAAGAAGGTATTTCATTTGTCTTCGTGTCTTTACTATTACTAAGTTAACTATACATAAACGTTCATAAGAAATTAAAATTTTATAATTATTTTATCATTATATGTCATTATTATTCATTGTTATTAATATTATTATTATTGTTATTGATATTAGCATGAATACTACTATATACCTCCACCAAAGGAGGTTATGTATTCAGTACTGCCTGTCTGTTATCAAGGTTGCAAAAAACTATTGAATGGATCATCATAAAATTTATTTGAATGGAACATTTTATTTAAAGAAAGAGACGATTAAATTTTGTGAATAAAATGTCAAAGGACATAGTCAAGGTCATAGCAATTCAATTGTTTACCCTGAGGTATGCCCTCTATGGAGTGACTGCTCTAGTTGTCGTCATTAATCAGTTGTTGTTGTCAGTAGTATTAGTTGTTTATGAAATCACATATTAGTTCCTGTGAACATTTTGGGAGCATTTACATGTTTACCATAGCCTCCCTTGTTGCTAGCATACCACAGACTGCAAAGCTTTTGCTATTGGCTAGGGTTGTTTACAAATAAAACACAGGAAGATTTATTACTGCAATAGGTAATACCCCTATCTGGAAAAGAATTCAAAATTACAAACCAAGTTAATTGATATAGAAAAATATATTGCAATTTCAATAATAGCAAACAATTATTACTGAGGTAAAGGTAAGTGAACATAACTCGCAGCATCATTGTGCTGAATTGCATTTGGGTGTGTTCCATGACTACCTAGCAGCTGTAAAGAGGCGCTTATAGTACCATCATTTTCCCATCAGTCCACAACGACAGAGACTGAGATGAATCATAGCATCGGGGTAATTCCCATACTCTTCCGAAAGATGCAATGAGTTCTTTAAACTGCACACGAGCCAGATGTGTACACTGAACCTCCATTTTAAGTCCTTATATTTTGGAAAACTTGGTCCAAACACTGGACGAGGAGCGGCTTGAATGAGCACCAATGTTAAGGCTATAGTTAGCAGCGCCCCTGCCTTACCGCTCGGCCACTCAAATCAAATTCAGCTGTCAATTTTGGAGTTCACTTAAGTTTGTATGGATTTGTTGTTGTGTGCTAATTTGTACTTGTGACAAAAATTGTCTGTGGCTTTAAGTTGGAAGGATGTTATCAGTTTTTATGAATTTTGAATCCGTTGCACATCTAAACTACGATAATAGTGTATTGTAGACAATCATTGTAAATGGATGGCTTGCCCTACAAATTGTATTAATGGTCCCTGCAGAAATCAATGCCACACAGAAACAACAATGGGAGTTGGTGATGTAAGCCCAGGGGATACAGTGAAATTATTAGTAATTTCGTTTACCTATACCACTTCTCAGTAATGTTAGACTATTGAGTTATAAATTTGATAAAATTCACGTGTGTGCTAGATAATTTACAAGAGTTATGCTATTATTGATATTGATGATTTCACTCTTAATCGACACATCCTTTTAAAAGCACACACCACTATAATGAAATTTTAACTACTATTGGTGAGAAACTGAAGTAGAATATATAATAATATTGGTGGACTTATAAAACAAATAATATTAGAGCTTATGTGGTTGTGAGCATAACAAGAAAAAAAAATAAATGAAATGAAAGTGGTGAAATCTATCACAAGGAAATGTTTTGACATATTGTATGCGAAAACATAAAACTTGGAAACATAAAAATGTATCCATTACAATTCTGTTGATATTAATAGTACTGAGTGTTAACCTTAATTAGTCTCATCAAGCACCATATGAAAATTTTGCTGCTACAAATATGAATATAGATTTCTATCCAAATGTGTTAGCAGATCATCATTAGTTGAATCACTTTGCTGTGGATCAACAAGTCTGCACGTCGTCAGAGGCAATCATCACAAACATAGGTTTCGCCTCCAGGGTGTTTTCTTTCCGCTATTGTACATTCGCTTTGGTCTTAGTAGCAAGTTCAGTGCCATGGGGAAGTGTGTAATTCTGTATTCAGTGCCGTATTATCTTGTAGGACAATTTTGTTTTTTAATTTCAGCCAGCTGACAGGATTCGATGAAAAAAGGTTTATGTTGTTGTTATTTACAGAAAGGTTGCGCCAATGGTGGCTCCGGAAATTTTTCAACATGGGGTCCGACATGTCGGACGGGTTTGCGAAACAAGGGTAAAATTAGAGTCTTGATGAGGGTGCTGGTGAATTTGTATGGATTCGTAGCCTAAATTGTGCTTCTACACCACAATATTATGGATTGGTAGTCAAAATAAAATTATTTGGATAGGCAAATTATTATTTTTGGTTCAACAACATTGTCATGGCATTGGACGATGCGGAGCCCAGGCCTGTCAGATAGTGGGTGGGGAAAATGCCTTCCCTGATCCTCCGCCCTCCCCTCACTGGGATGCACATAAACATATTAATAAATACTTTTTTTTCTCTAATTTTTTTTGGCTGATTGTTTAAATGAATTTGTTTTTTGCTAAATAAATAAATTGATTGATTGATTGATTGATTTATTTTTATTTATTAATTTACTGTACTTATTTATTGATACATATAGTGCGCCCTCATTTGCTTGCTGTAGTAGTAGTACTTACAGCAGCACTCAACCTGCTATTAAGGACAATCCAATTACTTAAACAAATGGAATCAACTTTGTATGGTCATTGATTTAAAAATAGAGATTGTAATGCTACTTTATAACAAATCTTAGGATTATTGGCAATTATATTGACTTAATGGGTAGTTGCAGGTTGCTGTTGCAATTGATAAGCAGCTAAATTGGGAGAAATATGAGCACTTAAATGAAGACTGAATCTGGATATTAGGAAAGCTGTGGTTTGTGCCACTGACACTCTATTCTGACTATTCAACAGCTGGAATTGAGAATCTCATGATATTTTCAGATACAGAATCTTAAGCCAGCAGAATTCTGAAAGATAAAATGGTTGTGGATGATGTATGTGTACAGCGATAGTCGATAAAGGCATTTAAAATACTGAAGGTCATATTCTATACAATTAATATGAATGGTTGCCTGCAGGTAAAAAGCTTAGGCCCATTAAAAGTAGGAGAAATAGGTTCCGAAACTCATTCATTCCATATTCTATCAGTTGCTTCAATACTCAATTTGAACTCGAGTGAAAATAATCAGCAATATGCCATCCACAACACATTTAAAATTTTGATATCTTATCTTAATGTTTCACTGAACTAGATTTACCAAATTAAAACTTATTTCTTACAGTGAGTGAAATATAACAGCATCTATTAAACTCAGGTTTTATCTATTCTTGTGCAAATCCTTTATATTTTTCTATTTTTTATATAGATATGTACCTTTGTAAAGTGATTTAAAGATACACAAAAAAACCCCTCAAAGATTAAATTAGATAACCTCATTACAAAGGATCATCGGTTAATAAGTTTAACATCAATCATAAAAAAGAAAATAACTTAAAAGAAATTTTGCTGCGAAAATCCTTAAATTGATTATAAGCCAATTTAAGTGTCAAAGCAAAAGAAAAGTGTTCAATGTTATTTATATGAAAATATTTTTCTCCTTCAAAATTTAAATTCAAATTACAGTAGAACCTTGTTTTTACGTACCCCAGTTATACGAACCCTCGGTTTTACGTACGCCTCGTATCGACGATGACGTCATAAAAAACCCCGAAAATATTCATAATATATGAATTAATACAACTAGACACATGGTTTTATTTGAACACTTTATTATGACATCGTAATTTGATGAATAAAAACACTAAACACATGGTTTTATTCGTAGGCTTAGAGGCTAGGTCTAGCCTAGGTAACATCGTTCGTTCGTTCATACATACGTTTATTGAGCGTTACGTACGTATTAGGTCACAGGTTACCAGGAGATGTTGCTAGGAGAAATTTCCTTGGTACAATTTCTTAGTATTTAGTACATTTTTGTCATGTGAAATGGGTATTAGGTTCTGTGTGTACCTATGCATTTTGTCAACCCAACAGGATCTGTCTCTTATACACATCTAGATGTGTATAAGAGACAGGGTTTTATCTATTCTTGTGCAAATCCTTTATATTTTTCTATTTTTTATATAGATATGTACCTTTGTAAAGTGATTTAAAGATACACAAAAAAACCCCTCAAAGATTAAATTAGATAACCTCATTACAAAGGATCATCGGTTAATAAGTTTAACATCAATCATAAAAAAGAAAATAACTTAAAAGAAATTTTGCTGCGAAAATCCTTAAATTGATTATAAGCCAATTTAAGTGTCAAAGCAAAAGAAAAGTGTTCAATGTTATTAATATGAAAATATTTTTGTCCTTCAAAATTTAAATTCAAATTAATATTATAAAATTTAAACAATTCAAATATGAAATATGGACAGTACATTTTCAACTCAATTGTTGGTCTGTAATAGGTCAAATCTATATCAAAGAATGTTCCACCCACATTCATTACTTGGAAAAATTTCTACTTAGCATTCATCGATCCATATTTTGAGTTTGGTTTTTTTTTGTACGCAGGTCTCTATTTGTAATACTCAGTCTAACGCCAACATAAATATCAATGTCTGCCGAATTAGCCACTCGGTTACTGGTACGCCGTAAATGTGCAAGGATTTTTTAAAATTCTTAATTTAGATTGAATTTTTAACTTCAAGAGAACAAATCTGGAAAGGAAATTTGTTTTCTTAACACTCTTTTTAAGGTTGTCAATTTTGTGGTGGTGAACGTGGGTGATTGTTGTTGTGGTGGTGGTGGTATTGACAGTGGTGGTTGTTTTGGAAGTGGTATTATATTTATTGTTAATCACAATATTTGGAGTTTGAAAAGTCCACTTAGTATCGTGTTGGCGATACCACTATTGTTCCATCTGTTTCTGTTCGTAATATCGGCATTACATTTGACTCTACAATGACGCTTAAAAAACATGTAACCAACATTTGCAAATCTGTTTCTTACCACATCAGAAACATCAGGCATATCAGATGGTTTCTGAACGAAGAAGCTACATTGAAACTTATGCACTCACTTGTTATATGTAGTATCGACTATTGTAAGGGAATCTTATGTGGACTACCATATGCATCGATCAAGCGAATTCAACTTCAATTAAATACTGCCGCACGTCTCACAAATACCGAAAACTCAACTCATCACCTCTACATTGAAAACACTTCACTGGCTTCCAGTAAGGCAGCGCATTACATTTAAGATCCTTGTTCACACCTTTAAATGCCTTCACAACTTATCGCCTATGTACCTGACCGATCTTATCCATATCCGGTCATCAACATGTTATCGAAGTCTATGTTCCACCTCATGTCCATATACTTTATCTACCCGTTTAATTCGTTCTAAATATGGAGAGAGGTCCTTTCAAGCTGCTTCTCCCAAGCTATGGAATGCACTCCCTATTGAGATCCGACAGTCTCCTTCTCTATCCATTTTTAAGGAGAGACTCAAGACCTACCTTTTTCAAACTTTTTATATTTTCCATTTTTTTTGTTTTACCTTTGTTTTACTTCCATCGTTTAGTTTTTCTAGGATAGGCTAGTCTAGACACCAACATCACTTGAGCACCTGTGAGTTATGATTTTGCAAATCACTGCTTGCCTGTGGTCTCAAATTGCAGGAAAACGGTGTGGTGATATCGGTTCCCCTGCGATAGTCTGTTTTCTCATGCTTTTTTTATATTCTTAGGTCGCTTGGTTAGACTTTAGGATTTAGTTTTTGGTTTGTTTTCTTTCGTGTAACTTAAGCGCATAGAGACCATGTAGTATGCGCTTTACAAGTCCCAAACCATTACCATTACCATTACCATCAAACATGGCAGAATTCATGATGACAATAGGAGACGTAGTCTATTGTTATTGGTACCTATGTCATTATGCCGCTTGATCAATAAATAGTAAAAATTACATTTAATTAAATTTCACCATAATTGCAACATTGAATTTCAGTTTATCTAGTTGTTTCCTTTATACATAGTAGTACTTTTTATAATTAAATGGTAGACTTCACATATTATAATTTAAATGTATCAGGTAATTTACCGGTCTCCCTGGGGGTCTGCATTTTTAGATATCATTAGTATTCTTAAGTGTTCATTCTCACCACACGGCTGATATCATTGCTGGAGATGTTGCTAGGAGAAATTTCCTTGGTACAATTTCTTAGTATTTAGTACATTTTTGTCATGTGAAATGGGTATTAGGTTCTGTGTGTACCTATGCATTTTGTCAACCCAACAGGATACTTACACTTACTCTATCGTCAAGCAAGGTAGGTGATGTTTAAGATTATGAAATTTTCATGCAAAACCTTTTCAAGTCAAGTAGTTTGGGTGATATGATGTGTATGGAGGTTTTTCTAGGTTATGCTTGCTGCTATAAACAAGCCTTTTGAGACAGACACTTGTGAGGCCATAAGCAAAGCATAAAGAAAAAGTTCTAGCTGATATTTTATGTTAAATATTTTTTTGAATGTGTTGTAGGTTGATTGAACTGAATGAAGGGATCGATGCCCTTGATGCAGCAATTGACTACAAGAATGAGATCATTTCCAACAGAGAAGAACACCTGCAGGCAAATAGCTTATCACAGGTCAGCTTTGCATTGATTTTTTTGGTATAAAACACCCACTTAGAATCCTGCCAGTTGATTGGTTGGCTATAGGTCATGTGGGATTAAATAAAATGTACCATTCAATAAACAAGAAGTACGTTGCACGGCTGACGTCAGTTTTTTGTTTCATTCACCGATTTTGCAATATTAGTTTCATGCAGTCAATGAACTGTACCATTGTATGAGAGAGAGAAAAAGTAAGAGTAAAAATGGACAATCACTACGTTCTATATGCCGTCTGTAGATTGTCGGTCTGAGCTGATCGTCATTAAAAACGATTCGTTGCACGCAGACTGTGGCAGTGTGTTCTCCATATATTGTGTAAGCTGATGACCGTTGGGCACAGTGATTCGGCCACATGCCACAACTGATAATATAACCCTTCAGGCTGGCTAACAAAATGGTCAATGTAAATTGGTCCATTCCTGTTGCATAGAAGTTTTATAGTATACAAATATTGACTGCTCTATATTCAGGGAATGGTGAAATCCATTGCCCCGAGGTGATGTGGAGAGCGTAACCACATCACCTCGGGGCAATAGATTTCACTTTTCCCTGAATATAGAGCAGTCAATATTTGTTTTATATACCTCATACATAGATTCTACGAGGCCTAAAAAAGTACTTGCTTGCTAGCCTGTTATATTAGAGGCACAGAGGCCTACTACTACTACTCGACTAGCTAGACTAGACCTAGCCTGGGTGATCAAAAAGTGTGTCTTGCTCTTCTTTGCTTATTTCCTTAATTTCAGCAGCACCCATCGTCTTGCAATATATTTGTCGAATATTGATATGACATATTTAATTTGTCTTTCTATGCTTTTGCTATCGGCTTCATCAAGAAGTAATCCTAGGCCTAGGCTAATTCTCCTTCATCTCGAAATGAGCAGCCTCCATGTTTGTTTATCGTTTACTCGCTGATCCATGACACGGTCGGGGGATAATCTCGTTGTACAGGTCGCAGTCCTCTTTACCGTCAGCAGCGCGATGTAGTGGGCCTAGAGTCATGCACATCGCGATAGGTAAAAAAAGTACTATTTTTGAGGGGAATAGTACTTTCTATTGCCCCGCTTCTTAACCAATCAAATGCGTAGAATCTATGTATGAGGTTTAATTGCTATCAGAACTAAGCAATATAGATGCATATTGTACACTAGATGGAAATTATTATCCAAAAGTTAGATTAATGCTTGAAACCATATCAAGCCGGCAAAAATAAAGTTTTTGAATTATCTAATCTGAGTACAATAACTTCCTTAATTGTATGGATATAGAGTGTTCTAAGTACAATCTTGCCAGGAGCAAGGAATAGGCATGAACCTTTTGTCCTTGATATTCTAATTTAATGAATTTATTTTCTACATTAGTATTGTACTTTCTATGTCGTACAAATTCACAAAGTATGTTAATTGTTTGTTAATAAAAAGTCTGCAAAGTTCTTTCTGGGCCAGATTTGCCTGCAATTTTACCGTAATGAAATGCTCCCAACCTAAGTTAAAATATAAAAATTAATATCGTGCAATTCAAAGCAGGTAGGCTTTAAGCCGGGGGCCCAATGGTTGTCGGTGGACGCGATATTGTAAAGAACACAACTTACAACGCGTGCGCATCAGATCGTTTTTAATGAGGATTGTCACTAGCTTTAAACAGGGAGTGGAGCTGGACTCTTTGTGCGACTTTCGTTGTACAACACAGAGTTTCCATCTTTAGTTGTACATGTGAGAAACAGCTGTATTTCTTTAAACATTGACTTAAACATATATAGTGGATAGATATAATTAAATTGTTAAAAATGTAGGCTGTTTCAATAAATTAATTAACTGAATAATTATGTTGACTTTTATATGTTGATATTGAGCTAGAAGTGTTCGCAATTCCAGCCATCCAAACAATAACCCAATTTAAAGCGTTCAGAGCCCAGTTTAGAGATTTTAATGTCATACCAAATTAATTTTCTGTCGTGCAATGCAAGTCATTTGTCTGTGTTTTTCCCCATGATAATAAATCATAGAATGTTTGAGTAAAAAAAAGAATAATGTTGATGAAATACAATTTTATTTCATGCAATTTTGGTTCATTGCCTAGCCCAGAAATTTTACACCAGTATTTTTCTTTTTTGTAAAAAAAAATTTGTAAAATATTCAGTATACCTATGCCTCAGACGAGACTTTTTTTTATTCTTTTTTCGCGTACTTATTTTTTTAAAGACCATCCGAGGATGGCGGAATAAAAATAAAATTTTGTTTTCTTATTTAGAATAGTTTGCAAAAAACATCCAGACGAAAGAGAAAATAGAAATAAAATCTTATTGGTGAATGTAAAATAGGATGGTTAAATGCTTCAAATTTATATAATTAGGCAAGACTTTTTTTTTATTCCTTATTTCACGTACTTATTTTTTTAAAGATCATTGGAGGAGGACGGAATAAACATAAAATTTTGTTTTCTTATTTAGCAAATAGTTTCGCCAAAAACATCCAGGCGGAGGAGAAAATAAAAAGAACATTTTATTGGTGAATATGAAATAGGATGGTTAAATTCTTCAAGTTTTTATAATTAGGAAGAAACATACATATTTTATCTTTGGAGATTTCAAGGCAGCGGAGCACATAATAAAAATCAAGAAAAACTTTCATTTTTTTTCTGAAATTTCCACTTTTTTGTGGTGGTGGGTGCGCTCTATTGGCCAAAAATAAAATTTTATTTTTATTTGAAATCATCAATATTTGCAATCGGCGGGTTTGCTAAACAAGGTATAAAAAAAAGTCTCGCCTTTAGGAAGAAAAGGCAGCAGACGGAGTAATAAAAATTTTAAATTTTTTATTTTTTTCAGAAATTTCCACTTTGTCGTGGCAGCGGGTGCTCTAATTGGCCAAAAATAAAATGTTATTTTTAATCGAAATCATCAATATTTGCAGTCTGCATAACCTGTGTTCTTCATATTGCTTACTTTTAGTACAGTATCACCAATATTGCCTATATTCAAGAATTTATTATTAACTTGACTCGCCCTCAATTTTGCATATCATAATTTACGTACACATTCATGTACGATTTTTCAGTGTACAACGATACAAACATAAAATGAGCTTCAAAATCATCTACAAATAATCGTTGTTAATAAATTTTCCTCAATCTTTATATTTTAATATGAATCTTGGATTGTTTGATAGGCCTGGTTTTTTTGTAACATTCACCTGAATCTCTAAAGACAGACCTTCACAATCAATTGAAAATGCCTTATAAAATGCAACAGCTTCCATCCCCAAGATCTTTGCAGTCTATGGTATCTAGCCAAAGGAGGAACCCTCCCAAACACTTGTCAGTAATACACACCTCAATTAACACTACACATCTCAAATGATTACAGGAATATAATTTCATAAGAGAACCGAATCTTGGTTAAATTTTCCATGCTGCAATGACATATACATCATGAATAATATAATGTATTTCAAGGCTTTACCTTTCTACTCAGATTAGCTGACATCGATTTACTCTGTGACGATACAAAACGAAGCCAAATTAATTTTTGTGTTTGTTTCTTGTGGCTTTAAAGTAAGACAGGTTTTTCTGTGGAAGGTGCTATATAAATACATGACCATTGACCATTACATTGTTTATTTTATATATTTTTTATAACAATTCCCTCGCTTTAAATACTTTAAAAAATGATGTACTGTATATACTATGTAAATAAAGAGTACTATCCTAGACAGTACTACCTTTTTTTTGTAAACCCTTCGCAATTAATTTGTGGAAAATGCTAAAAGGCCAGACCAAGTACTGTAAATTTTCAACATAGTAGGCAAATCTGCAAGTAAATATATAATATTGAACACAGGTAGCACTTTATTGACTACCTCACAAGATTTATTATGCAATAAAAGTATAATAAATCACCTGAGTAGTCATCTGTGTTCCATTTAATAATATGAGAGTAGCACTGGATCACATTTGTTTGTTTATTCAGCTTTTCTGCTCTCAGCCATCATTTTGAATTTTTGTATGATTAATTTTCGGATTTTTTATTTCTTTCTTTATAGATTTATTTCTAATTGTGATTTTTACTAAAATTAATGAAAATAACAATTATGTTACATAAAAGATGCCAAAGGTCATTTTAAAAGAGCTGGCATGTAGTAAAATATGAAAAAGTGTCAATAAAGTCAGAGTGGCATAGGTGATAACAGTCCAGTACGTAGTATATTGATTATTTAGAGTGTACACCAAAAAAAAATATTTCTGTTTTAATATAGGACTTATATATTCTGTGAAAATAGTGCATTCATTAAAAATTATTGTTTTTAAAACATAGAAAAATAGTATGAAAAGATGCTTTTGGAGTAGATGGATAATGAAATGAGCATTTAGAAATGCCACAGGGGTGACAAATGTAATAAAAGAGATACAGATGAGAAAATGGAGATGGACAGGTCACCTATCAAAAAGAAAAAATGAAAGATGGACAAATAAATGAATGGATTGGTTGCAAGTGATCAAGTCAGGAGAGAAAAAAAGGTGGATGGGTGAAATTAGGGAGTTAAAATCTGTGCACTCACTGCATCCTCGCCAACGCATTTCTATGATAACCACATCGCGACGATGCATGCTACGGTTTGTTTTTAATAAAGATTCATTGAGACTGCCACCAATAATCAGCAGACAATGTCGCATCATCTAGAGCTTACAGGGAGCGGAGTTGCCTTTATTGTGCGATAGTCCTACGACCTTTGTGGCTGGCTTAAGGGAATTTACAAGGAAGTGAGCTGCACGGAGATGCGAAAAATGGCAGTTTAGATGAAGAGGCTTTCCTCGTGCAGTGGAGTGAAACAGCTAGATAGATAGAAGTGAGCATTTTCACATGCGTCAGCTTGCAATTTGACAGTGATTGAGGCGTTTGTGTGATTGATAAGGCTGTCTGACAGACTACTTGAGATGTTTCACCAACATCAACATTCTCTTATTTTTTTCCTCTAGCTTGAATATTACAACTGAATCCCTTATTATAGGTTTCAATTAGATCGACAAGGTTTATTTGAAACTCTAAATAAATGAGTACTTTGAAGTAACTTGCACATTAGATGAATAGATTAATCTATTAATAGATACTAATCATCTCCAACTTATTATTATTGCTTAAAATCAATTTTTCTTGGTAGACGCTAATTATGGATAATTGCTGGCAATAAATGCCATCCTTGCATGGCGATGTTTTTTTAGTACTCGTTTTTGAATTTTCGAACTTGGTCGTCTCCAGAGCTTGTACAATTAAATATTATAGCCGATTTATCAAAATATTTTTCAATCTATTGTCCAAAAGGAAATTATGCGGAGTATCATGAGTTACTATTAACAAGAATTGAGAAAATGATACAATTCAATTGAAGTAGTTATTATTAATAGGAATCTAGCATGTTCATTTCATCCATGTATTAACATTTTTTATTGTCAATCCTCAATAGATTTTTTTTCCATGACACTATTTTGACAGTTTTAAGGCTTAGATTAATAGCAATTATATTTGTAACAAAGGCATCTCATTTTCCATCATTCTCATTTTTAACACCACCCTCTGATATCCCCTTTTTCTAATATCCATTCCATTTCTCTTTTTTGATTTAGTTTGGCAATCTTTTGCTTTCTATCTTATAGAGCGAGTCGGAGTTGATGGGTCGTTTAGGTTCATTATCAACTGTTGAGACTAAAGCACTTCTTGCCAGATACTTCGAAAAAGTTGTGGATTTGCGAGAAAGTGAGAAGCAAAAAGAACTTGAAGTCAATGAATTAGAGGTATGAATATAATCAATGTTAAGCAGCTTTCAAAAAAAGGTGCTATTGAACAAATGCTAGGCAACTGAATGTTAACAAATTGCTTATGATCAAAGTAAGGCAACTTAATATTGTGCTAATGAACGAATTTGTGGCAACATATTGTTAACAAATTAGAGGTGTGGTAAAGGTTCAGACCTCGGCGTATGATGCAGCCGATGCAATTTATCGTCAATGACAGTGTTTTATATATTTAACATTTAATATACTACAATGCGACTGTCCCTGGCGGAGACGTATCGCGTCACCAAAGTCACACAGACCCAGTCACTTAGGGCTGCATTGTACAACTCTGTCTGAGTTGGCCTTAATGAACTATCTTGGCAACTTGAAGTAAATGAATAAGAGGTAGGCTTATGAACCATAAATATTAAATTATCAACTTGAATTTGAAATTTCAGGTACCAAAAATGATTAAAATGCGCAACAGCACAAAATTGTTAAGTCTTAAGCGTGGCATTAAATCTTTCAAAAATGTTATTTATATATTGACATTGCATTTATTTTGTCCTTACATTATTTAGAACATCATTATATATTCCATATTTTTTTTATTGTGATACTCATTTAATTTTATAGATGAAAATAGACGAACAAGAACGACTTGTCCGGGAGTTAGATGGTGCGCTCCAGAGAGCCGAGATAGAAATGGATCGCAAAATTACAGAACAACAGAAGCAACATCAAGAGCGAGTCCAGTTTCTTATGAAACAGATTGAAGAGCAGTCTGGTAGTAGCACCCCAAGGTAATGAATGACCCAGCATCGGCATTAATTATGCATTGCTTTCTATACCGAAAAAAAAATCCATTTGTAATGTATTGGTGTAAATGCTACAGTTTCTTTTCCATTAATGTCAGTGGCTATTGCAATAGCTTACAGCATTCATGTTTTAATGGCTGTGAAATGTTTTTTTATGCAATGCATCGCAGATAATCAATAATAGAGAGGTCTGGGTGTTTAATTTTTAACAGGTATAAGAAATAATCTCAACATTTCACTTGGTTACAAAGAGCAATAACCTTGAGGTTGTTTCAACATGAGGAGTTATGAATGTCAACTTATTATAACCAAGATTAGGCTTGACAAAACCCCTTTTGCCAACATGCAATGCAGTTTTAAATGACACAAAAATAGTAACAGTACATTAAAGCTAAAATCTCTTTCAATTTCATATATAGTTGTAGTTTGTGGGATTTGAAAATGGATGAATTTTGCCCCCAAGAAGTTATTGAAAATATAGCTCATCGCTCATTGAGTACCACAGATAATTAATTGAATTAATCAATGTTGTTTAAAAATATCTCTAAATTATCAAGTTGCTGTTAGATCCATCAAGAAGGTGATACGACTGAATTAGTTTTCTAGTGTATTATTCAATTAATTTTCTAGGTGAAAATTGATGAGCAAGTGAAAAAAAAGTTTTTTTCATTTTATTCCGTCTGTTCGTAGGTTTTCCAGAGACACCAGATTTACTTCAATCTTCCATCCATTCAATTTTGAACTTACTAAATGCAGAACCTCCATTTTTCAAATTAATTTGTCATTCAGCTTCAGTTCAACTGATTGTTTTCCAGTTTCCTTTCATCTTGCAAATTTTAAATCCTGTGTCAACCATTTCCTTTTTAACTATCTTAACCCCTTAACTTGATGTTTTCATTAATGTTGGTGCTTTTTCTTTATATAGTTTGATTGATACAAAGATAAAGGCGCTTGAGAAAGACTTGTACTATTACAAGAAGACAAGTCGCGATCTAAAGAGAAAGTTGAGGGAATTTATTGGAAGTGCTGCCTCTTCTTTGAATCAAAATGGTCAAGGTAAGCTTGCTTTTAGTAATCACTTTCAAATTTACTCCATGCTTTAAATTCTATTGGTAATATTTCCCACTGATTAAAACGAGCATCACTAGATAAAGGCAACTTGATTTCTTGCTTTGAAAAAGGTATCTGTTTGTACAGTTTTACAGGACTATGTCTCCGACTTTAAGTTAAACAAATATTGAAATATGTTTTAATTGTAGACGCAATGTAAACATAGACCAATGTAAAAATGTGTGTAATTTAATAAATTATCTAAATAATAGTTGTATAAAGTATTTTGTTCATTATGAATAATAAAATTAATGCACAATATGAAAGAATTAAAGATTTAAATTCCATTGGGTTTTTTTGACAGTCCATTCAATGACTGTATGTTTAAGCCCAAGATCATGAGGTACAGTAATTAAATCGCAGGATAAGGAAGGTGATTCCATGATTAAAAGTTCAATCCTGGGATTAAAAGTTTAATCATAGAATTTTGAGGTTGATCAAGGATCACAAGTTTAGCATCAAGCTTAGGAGTTTGATTCCAGAATTTTTAATTTTATAATTATCAATGGTATAACAAGATAAAAATCATGAATTTCAGGATCATGTATCATGGGTTTAATCACAGGATCATGAGTTTAGTCCTAAAATCATGAGTTTAATCCAAGGATCATGAGTATATTGTAGGATCATGAGTTTAATCCAATGTTTGTGGGTTTAATGCTATTAAATTGCATTTTCATGACCAAGAATCTTGGCTATCCGTGTCTTTGAAGCAATTTGTTAATATACGGTACACCATTAGTATCTTAATTGATCTACTCGGCTGGATACATTACTCTGATGTTGGTTTTTTTTAGTTATAAATATAGCACAATATACTTAAGTGATACTTATCGTATTGATATTGATAAATAATATTTACATGTTGACAAGGAGCTTTGAGTACTGTGTATGCTTTGCAAAGTCTACATAAATTTTTATAATAATAACAGCAATTATAATTTTTTTTTTTAAATTATCGTCACCATCATCATTGCTATCTATTACCTTGAAGTTTATAATGGCCATCCTGAGGATGTATTATATCAAATAACACAGTGCACCCTCCAATCCGAGACCCCTCTAATTCGAGACTAAGCTATGCGGAGACCGACCTCCAAGACCACCCCAAATTTTCAGGTCCCAAAGGTGGTCTCGAATTAATTGAAGGGCGAACTGTATTTATATTATTCTTGTTAATCATGGCATGTACATGTTTTCTCAGACAGTGACCATCAACGAGGTAGTGATTCTGTTGAGCAACTACTGAAAGATGATCAGCGAAGAAACCTGACACCTATAAGGAAATCGAAACGTGAAGTTAGGGAATTAAGGTAAGCATAGAAGCAAGGATGTGTAGTGTGAGAGCAGTTATCTGATGCTTTATGCAATCTTAATGGTTTTACCAATGCATTGCTGTTTTATTTTTTATACATTCAGCTTAAATTATTCATTCCAGCTTGTTTTTACTAATTGCATACTATGTTGATTTCAATGCTGAACATCCCTCGAACAAAAAATTCAATTAAAAAAAATGCTGTAAATAATTAATATACAATAAATAATATAAATTGACATGTTGAAAAGAAAATTGTAACTACAGAAATACTAAATAATGCTTTTAAAAGGTGCTTGATGGCCTGTCAATTGCTTGCTTGAAGTTGTTAAATGTTGGCCATTCACACTATGTAAAGCAACCTATTGTATACAAATATTAATAATTCATTTTTACAAGAGGTTTTCTATGTTTTATTTATTTGCAATATTTTATTAATTTGATCGTTGTTTTTTTTTGTACAAATTGTAAATATAACCCCAATAAAAATTAATGTTGCTGTACATAAATTGCATTAGTTCATTCAACCCTGTTCAATATTACTAATGAAATAGTGCTATAATAGCTATATAGAATGAGTCTTGAGGGAAGTATACTGCTCAAAGTGGCCATGACTGCAAGTACAGTGCAGGAGCCAAGAATGACAATAAATGAGTGTTGTTTCAAATCATTGCCTTTGGCTTACCCATCATAGCTTAGTCACCCATCTCCAATTGATTATGTCTGGCATTTGAGGGATGAATATTGCAATTAAGATTAAAGGTTTCAATTAATCAAAGAGACAGCATTGCATTGCACACTATATTACTATACATCAAAAATATTAATTAGGTTTAATTATTTAATTTCTCTGGTCAATTCCGCCTGGCAAGGGGTGCGATGGTTTTTAATACTTCCATGTGCATTTCAAATTTGTGTATACATGCAGAAAAAATACTATCCAAAATCTATTACCTCCCCCTTTACATGCACTGGATGCAAACTGTAATTTCCAGTTTGAAACAGCTAATGTTGATGGACAGTTTGCTGATTAATATTTATGAGGTATAGTAAACAAACATAAAATGGTTTTATTTCGGTAAAGTAGTGAACTTCCCCCTTCGTTGGATGATTGGGACTACCTCCCTCCACTTCGCGTTGGGAGGTAGTCCAAATCATCCAGCGCCTTGGGAAGTAGCATTTACTACTGCACCTCATACTACGTTGTATTTGTATAATACTTTTATAAAAATATAATAATTTATAATGTTTTTAATATATTATAAATAATTTTATTATCATAATATAAATTATTCATTTGTCCCACACACACACACACACACACACACACACACACACGCACATGTTGACATGCATGTTCACATGCATTTACACAAAAGGTGTGAAAAGGTCCATTTGACAATGAATATTGACACTAGTCTTTCATTTCAATCCTTATTTTTTAATTTTTGTACTGGTCACCTATATTATCAAATTGTTATGTAATTAAATTATTGTCTGCTTTATAGTTTTCTGATTTATGGTTTTGAACTGGACAGGTATTTCCATCCTTGATGGTATTTCTAATAATGGATAATTGTATAACTTTTTTGGCTCCTGATATTTTCCAGTAACCATGATATTAAAGTTACATATTGTCTTTGATTCATTGCTTCTGATTTATGGTATTTCAACTGGACAGGTGTTTTTCATCCCTGTAGAGATTAGTAAAGGATGTAATTGAATGAATTTGTCGCTTCTTCTAATAAGTTAAAGCTAGGAGATTAACTCATAATTTGCAGCATCATTGTGTTGAATTGCGTATGGGCGTGGTCTGTAACCACTGTATCAGCCATAGAGGGGTGCTTAGTTCACATTATTCCACAAAGACAAGGGCTGAAATGAAGCATAGCATTGGGGTAACCCCCTACACTTACGAAAGAAGCAGTGGGTTCTTTAAAGTGCACACAAGCCAGATGTGTACACTGGACCTGCTATTTTTAAGTCTTTATCTGAGAAAACTTGGTTATACCAACCGAACCCTGGGCAAGGAGTGGCTCACACCAGCACCAATTTTAATGCTGTAGTTAGCAGTGCCTCTGCCTTACCACTTGGCCACTTGAATTTATTACAGTGAAAGTTATATAATTTACACCTTCAGATCAAACAGCCATATGGTAGAATTTGAAACATTGTATATGGGAATGAGTGGACATGAGTGCTATACAAATATTATTATTATTATTATTATTATTATTATTATGAATTGTTTTTATCTTTCATAAATGCAGTTCAGCCGAGGTATCCATGAGGTGGTCCAGTAGCAGCCAAGCAGGCAATGCCAACATCAATGGTAAGATTTATAATCAAACTTAACTGACCAATCAGTACATTGTACGAGTAATACAGGAGTATATGTGCAGCTTCACCAAACACACATTTTCCCACAGTGTATGTTTTTGCTGTTGTTTTGTAGTATGTTTGCATTATTATCCAAGAGGTTTTCCTTATCTACTAACCTTCTGGAAAAAAAATAGGTTGGCAGACATGCAGACTTAAATTAGTGTATGAGAAGATATAAATGTTATATGATTTATTTTATTTCATTATTTATGTTTTTTTAAATTCAAAAAGTGTAGCAAATTATAATTGAAAATAATAAAATATTCTTTTTTATTGAGTTTCCAAAAAAAAAACTTAGTTTTAATGTAAATAATTTTCAAACTTTATCAATTAAAATAAAAATATCACAATATTTTTTCACTGCTTTTCAAGTGTGAATTAGCACTAGAAATTATTTGTACTTACTCAAAAATGCCTCTTGAACTTTAAAAAGTGGCTTTTATTTCTGACTAATCTATACATGTATACTCAAATGTAGCAGTTATGTTATGATTGCCAAAGATGTGAGGCTGTGTCTATGTTGTGATTGTCTGAGATATGAGGCTGTCAGTGCTGTGAGTGTGTGTAATGAATAACCTCTTAACATAGTTATTTTTCAAATGTTAGCAGATTTCTGCAGAATTTTTTTTTTCTGTTTTCATGTGAAACTGGTAGCCACCAGTAATTAAGCTATATTTTGTGGTGGTGTGATTGAGGCTTTTATTCTTTCTTCTGCTAAGAGGGAGGAATAGTGAACAAGTTGAACATCATGTAACTAAATATAATATGAAGTTAAACTCAACTTTGCTCCAATCTCATTTGAACCCTCTTTATAAAAACCACTTTTCATCATACAGTTTGCCCTCCAATTCGAGACCACCCTTGGGACCTGAAAGTTTTAGGTGGTCTCGGTGTTGGTCTCCAATAAGAGGGCTAGAAATTAGAGGGGTCTTTAATTGGAGGGTCCACTGTATTTTGTTGTCAAGTATTAAGAAAAGCCCACAACATTAATCTGCCATACTTGCATCTTAGCAATGTTACCCCTGAAATACACAACAAAAAATCTTTGATAATGAGTGTTGGATACATTACTGCTTCACTATTTGTGGTTGTAACTCAAGTGAGCTTTTTGCGTGTATGTTGCTCTACAGAATTCACATTATTATTAATTTAACCTTGGCCAAGCTCATTTATCAAGCACAGAAGAATCATATTCTTTTGGGATTGATTGCTCTCACCTGGTTGAATTCTTCATTACAGCAGTAACTACTGATTTGCGAATGCAGCTAAGGGAATTAAATTGAAAAGAGCAGAAATAATTGGATTAAAATGTGTGCGATTGATCTTGGCTACATCAAAGATCAGTGAATGTAATGCAAGACAAGAATATGTTGTATTTGGCTGTAATGTGTGGCTGTCTATGTTATGATTGCCAAAGATGTGAGGCTGTGTCTATGTTGTGATTGTCTGAGATATGAGGCTGTCAATGCTGTGAGTGTGTGTAATAAATAACCTCTTAACATAGTTTTCTTCTTAATAATGTAGTACAGTATTTGTGGAAGCGATAATTTCAATTGGCTTAATGCTAGTTTATCATTTAGCTAATCTAATGTGCTGATGTCTATGTTTGTTTTCATAATTAAATTATTTTGTTAATTTCAGATTCTCTTGAAAGTGACCATAATCCTTAGCAGAACAGTTTTCACCAGAGTAAGAGTCTCTCAAACATTCCAAACATCGGTCATGCCGTCCACCTGGCCAAAGATTGAAAATGTAGCCTTAAGTTCTTATGTCACTCTATGCTTTTCAATTTTTATGTTGGCACACTCTTCTAAAATTCCAAAGAGTTAATCTGAAGAAAATTGCTCTAGAGTAAAATAATGTTACTTGATGGTTAAGCGACAGGCTTCCAATCTTCATTGTTGGGTTCAATTCTATCATATGGCTCATTGCATTGCTTGTTTCCTATAACTATACATGTATTCATCCATAAATTATTAATTTAAACATTCATTTATACTTATGAAGTATGAATGTATATACCTGCAAGTGTGACTATATTATAATTATTACAGAATTTGTTAAATTTTGCTGTACAGTATATATATTTTCAATGTGGGTGGGTATTATTATTATTTATGCATAGCACTATGTACACATTTTAAAAATTTATATTATTGTGAATGATAAAATAGTATTTTAATTGTCTAATATTTCCTTCTATTCAGATTTCTTTCTATTTTGTCAGTCGTGAAACATGAAAAACTTTTTTCAAAACTGGTTTCTACATTGTTTTTTTCTCTGTATATTTCTATGTTGGCCTTCTGTTCTATGTTTAGTGTGATGAATTGCTAGTCTAATTGATGTGATTCTTTGAATTCTGTCATTAGCCAATTTCAATTTACATACTAATTACAATAATCATGGATATCAAGTAAATATCCAATTAGATATATTTATGGAATTACAGATTGAATTCTGTATTTATATGCCTTCATTATGACTTTCATTATATAATATTTTACATTATCGATTTTTCAATGCATTTCAGCTGCCATAAGCTTCTTAATGTACAGTCATAATAGTGGCTATGTTAAATGTGACCTCTGACCTTTAAAATGCCTTATTTTGTCTATTGCATGTACATGATTAGATTTTGAAATAAGTTTTTCACTCTCAGGTTTCTCTTTAATGTTCACAATATACATACATATGTACAGTATGTATACATTTTCTCAGAAATTTTCCCACATCTTTGCATTTTTATGATTTTATTACCCACTAGGCCTACGTGGAAATTTACGTAATGCCCATCGTGTCACTGAACCTGAGATCTAAAACAAATGGGCTATCTAAAACCCGAATCTCTTATTTTATTTATTAAAACAATTTACTCCAACAAGCACTGATAATTTGATTCTCGCGACAGTTCTCCACTGAAATCAAATGAATTCCATTGAAACCCATTTTTTAATGTTTTTTTAGTTTTTTTTATTTATGTTCATTACTCCTTTATGTTTTTACACATCCAGTTGAACTTGCCTAAATTGAATCCAAAATGGCATTGAAAAATTGTTAGACTTAAACTTAGGCAAGTTTAACTGTACATGCAATCTGGCCTCTGTGCCACAAGGTGTATTGTGTATTTTGATATGATTTTTATAATTAAGACAAGATCTCAGAAGTGATACATTCCAACTATAGTTTCCTGCTTGATTTCAGATGCCTTAACCAAGTAGGCTATTGGGGCTTCATGAATTTGTCAGACGGTAGTTTGCAATGGGTTCCAAAACAGGTGGAGGTTGATTTGCTTTTCATTCTTGGTTAGTCCTCTTCTGTTAAAAAAAATCAACCTCCACCCAGACATACTGTATATAATGTATGTATATATTTATGAATTTAATTTTTTGTTTGCGACAGTATTTTGAAGTGCACATGCCCATATCAATTGTTAGTCAACATAATACACAACATAGCTTTATGTTGATTCACCTTGGATATAGGCATGCACACTGACTTAAGCCTGGTTCTTACAAGAGCCCTAGTATGAGGTTCGGGAGCTGACCGTTAGTGCTAACCGTTAGCACCTGCGTGAGAACGGTTAGCGCTAACCGTTAGCAGTATCCGGATACCGCTAATGGTTAGCAAGCGCTATCGGTTAGCAAGTTGAGCGCTTTTCTATCATCAACCATTCACGCGTTTACAATTTCCAGTCTCTTATTGGCCAGTGATTCGATCATCATATTTTTGGTATACGGATCGGGATTTTCTCGTATGGACGCACGGCAGCTAACGGTAGCCATACCCGGATCCTGCTAACCGTTAGCAGCCATGTGAGAACATAGCCTTATAGTTTGCCATTGGACATGAATCATACTTTTGATGTTTCTCATGACTTTCCTCTTCTGCACATGCATATGTAATGCAGCAGATGTTTTTAGTTTGTATATATAGGAGCGAATGTAAATTGATATTTATTTGAAACATACAGTAAAGTAAGCACGTATTCACCTTGACATAATGAGTAATAAGCAATTAAGTAATATTTAATAGGTTTATTCAACCTGTGATGTACAATTGATTTTTAAATGGTGTGAGAAGCCAATATGTATGAATTCTTGCTTTTATGTTCACCAATAAAAGTGACTTATTGCATTTGTATGTCTACATGTTTGTGAATTGTGCTATTACTTTCTTGTTTTGATACAGATATTGGTATTAACCAAATTTAGTACAATATACTACGAAACATGGTTTATTGCTGGTATGGGTAATGACTGGTACCAGTGTTGTTATAACATTATTAATTTAAATATGTAATTTCTGAGGGCACTAGAAAATTGAAGCTGAAAGAACTAGACTTCCAAGGCCTATGGGAAAAGAGGGCTATTGACAATGAATAATTTCTGCCAAGTACAATATATTCCAGGTGGGCTCTGTTTTAGAAAATAGAGCCATTATTTCCTTAAAATTTGAAGTACTCTTGCGCCCATAACCAACCTTTGCTTTTTGCAGACTCTTAGCCCTATTCCGGTGGGTGTCGCTGAAACAGGTTTGAGGTTTTTGCACACAAGCTTGGAGAGAGGAAATTTACATGGAAGGTTACATGACTGATAAAATTTTTTGTTTCTGATACTACATCCACACTTATTTCATATCATTTCAATCAAATATGTTGAGTGTTTGTAACCACAGAGTGGTTAAATAATACAATATTTGTTGTCACTACAATTTAATACTGCATATCAATATTTTGAGTATCACGTCACTTTGAATGCAGTGTTACCTATATGAAGCCACTACTAGTGCCAGGGAATTTTGTTGTACCTCTTCAGCCACGAAAGTATTCAACGGAATCTTGGATTGTAGGTCACAAGTAGAACCCTGAGAGAAACTGAAGACGCACTCACTGCCGACGAAAACGTTAACACCATACTGATTGCTCTGGTGGCTATCTGAATGGATCATCATTAAAAACAATTTGTTGCGCATGCATCATCGCTTTATATTCTTCATAAATCTCGTCGGCCGGCAACCGTCGGGAAGGTCCACAAACCTTGCCAAGTAACCCAATACCTGGTAGTATTTAGTTCACCATGGTATCACAAAATAGACTTTTACTGTATGTTTTGCATGATTTTCATACATGGGCATAATGTTAATACTTAATAGTGTGGAGATTTACACTTTGAATAAGGATATCCATGCAAAGAGAGCTTCACTTTAAAAGACTGGTTAGACCTTCCCTTAACGTAAAATGATATGGTTTTTAAATTTCAACCGCTTTATATCCAGGATAGGGTTAGGATCATGATGGGGCGTTGGGGGGTTATCAGATCAAAATGTAATTTGCTTGATTATTATGAATATCCTTTGTGTTCAAATTTAGCTTGGGATATTTCAAAAGGCACTAAAGCATCACTTCATTGTGCTGAATGCTAATATTAAATCACATTGCTTTGATTGTATTTTGCGATAAAGAACACTGGTCAAACTTGTTGTCAAAAGTTTATTGCCAAATTACAAGTTAAATACAAGTTATATACATGTCTGAAATTGCACGATATACAAGCAGCACACTCTGCCATCAAATATCAATCATTGAGATACAAGAAATAATGAACAATTCAATTTGAATATGATGTAATGATAACAACCTGCAACATACAAAGTTTTTCAAAGTTTGAAGATTTAAATATCAACTAGACAACGTGTTACTAAATCCTGCATCTGATAATAATTTACTTCATTTCTTTAATAATCATGTTTTTATTTCCCATATTATTTTTACTAAATTGCTATATTCATTTTAACAATTATTTTTTTACAATCACAAGTAAATGTTAAAATCATGCTTAATTTCAATATTCAAACTGTATTACTATAGCTTATTACAGTTAAACTGTTCATTTGCATAATAGTATAATTTTAATTGCACTAACCCTGAAGAGCCTGCTGAGGCCATGAGAACAGAACAGTTAAAATTTATAACAATGAAAAAATCTAAATACCAATACCAATAACCTAAACTTGCAGTTATCTCTTATAATATCAACAATTTCTATAGTGAAAGAAAAAAATCTATTATTATAAAGTTTTCAATTTGATAGAGTGCAAGGTAACAAACACAAAACACAACAACCAAAACAGTGCTATTTTCAGTTATATTGTAAGTACTGTTAATCGTATATAAATAACAGGATAAGATCTTATTATATAATAATGAGAATCAAACTGTAGTTTCCTGCGATGGAAAATGCTCATGGGCACCCACGCTTGTTGCGTAGTCCCAATACTTTAACCTTCCGATTTCACGGATGGTGGCCCGCACTGATGGGAACTGTTCCAGGACAGATTTCAAATCCTTGCATGAGAGAGCATGCAGGTCCACATGCGTGCGTGCTCTGACGGATCGTCGACGCGGAACATCGTAGAGCAAGTTGATGTCATCAAAGTGGTCCCCCTCATCGAGAAGTTTTGCAACTTTCTTCTCATTTTTTTCTTCCATAATCTCAACCTGAAATGTCAAAAAAAAACAAAAAAAAAACCACTTAATTTATGTTAGGATTAAAGTAAACAGTTTGACGCAGCAGAAAAAACTGTTTGGTTCCCAACATCGAGCTTGGGGTTTCAATCCTTCACTGTATGTATACCTTTCACTTGTGTTTCTAAACCAGGCACTTTATCTGCATTGCATCTCTCCACCCAAGAATGTAAATCGGTATGCACCAAGTGCAAATTTTCTCTGCACTCTGTACTCTCTCACAGTACTGCTATTGTCATGCAGACCTATATTAAAGGCCACAATACCATATACTACCACACACCTGTATTCTTCTACTTACTGAGTCTATTTTTTCCACTCATACAAAATCATAATGTTTATTCAGAATAATTCAGAATGAATTGTCTCACAAAGAATGTCAAATTAAATAGCTTTATGCTTGTATGTAGAAGGCCTGTTTACTTTGGCTTTTATACTTACTGTTCCACGGTAGATGAAGTACATTTCATCACCAACATCACCCTGTCTGACGATAAAATCATTAGGCATGAATAGGACAGGTCGCAGCATCAGAGTCAGCGCCCTCAAGAAGCTAGCCTCGGCCTCTGCAAATATCTGAACCTGAATAGAAACATAATACTCGCTTAAAAACGACTTAACTTATGTTAGGATAATATTCATAGTATTCAACATGGTTTTAACTGGAATCCTAAATACATTGATAATACAGTACTGCAGTCTAATTAATTGTACAAAAATACAGAAAAATGCAATTTATTTAAAACTTTATTGAGAATCAAATTTATACTGGCTGGAAAATGTAACATTAATGCACAATGTTTCCTGATAACCATCATAGAAATGCAATATTTATATATTCATTTAATATACCCTTTTTAATATGATTTCTTTTCCAGTGACACTGGAAGGCTGACAATAAACCTATGGAATAAACCTTTAAAATTTGCTATTCTGTATTGCGAAATTTTGAGTGTTTCTTGGCCTAGATTATTTCACCTTGTTATAAATTGTCTGTTTTCCCTACATTTGTGTATTTATTGAAGTCTGTTTACAGACAATGACTGGGTTTGTTCCAATTCAATTAATTTTACCTGCAGTTACAATTTTGATCTTTTGAAAAACAGCTGTGAATTTCAAATAAAAATCAGCTAATGAAATTCAATGTACAGTAGATATAATTTTTATTTATGGTAGCTCTAATTTATTGTTCTATGAGATAACAGAAAAACAAAAACTCAAGACAATACTGCCTGGATGGCATGCTCCTTTGTCTAGGTAATTCAATTAATTCAATATCAATCAAATTTTCTAAAAATTAAAATATTACCTTTGTTAATAATTCTTGATTGATGCTGACACCAATGTCTGTCTGTAAACAGAACTGGGTATCGTGAAACAGAGTGTACTGATCAATGCCACTGCAATTAAAATAACATGCAACCAACATGTAAATCGTCATCTCTTTATATCTTATAATTACTACCAACACTATAAAAATTAGAAATATTTTAGCGACATTATAATAACAATAATGATAGTAGTAATAATGATGAAAACGCCAGCGACAATGATAACAACTTCCTAATGAAAACAAATCTGCACACTGAAAGTTGGAAGTCAAGAGTTTGAAGTTGTAATTTCATTTTTGTTTTACCTATTGTCCTAGTACTACTAAAAGACACTGCCAACCATCACTTGGTACGAGTTAAAACCCATACATTTTGGTAATATGGTGACCACCAAGAAAAAATACCATAGTTAAGGGTATTAAATTTAATTTGAAAATTGGCCATTTCAAACACTATACATGTTTGTGGGCTCCACCTTAGCAACAAAACAGCCAATCCTAGATTTTTATAGGGATTTGCAAGTCGTGCTGGGGCAACACAAAGGATTTTTGGTCTTACAGGTTATTGAAACAAAATAGATAATATAAAGGGGGAAAAAATAAAACAAAATAGATAATGTAAAGGGGAAAAAAATAAAACTAAATTTTCAATTATGTATACAAAACCTACTTGTGTCGAGCCCAGAGATAATCAAAATAGCTGATGACCCGGTTCCTTAGTTTACTTGGCAACTTTTGGTCTTTCATTTGGTTCTGAGAAAACAGAAAAAAATAACAGAATTACCATGACATTAAATATTCCATTCTTATTTTCTCTACATAAGATATGCCTTATTTTTAAATTTTAAATCAAATACACTTTTTTGATAATATTTTCGTTAAAAAATGGTCTGAAGTTTATAATCTGAATCAAACCATCACCAAAATAAAATATTTTCAGCTCACATAATCTCGCATGCCGTTGTTTTTTGTATGCTTATACAGTATTTGATTACATTTATATTGTTTCTGTATTCACTTTATTGTCATTGTTTTAATACTGGTATATCCATATTAAATTTGTATAGCTTGGTTAAATAAATAATAATTATTTGCTTTATTATATACTGGCACCAGTGTTATTAAATGCTTGCTATGAATTTCACTCAACTGAAATAAAACCTCATTAAGTGACGTTAATTCGAGTTTGGAAAAAATTGGATTAAAAAACACTTGCAATGAGACAAGGTGGTGCAAGGGATGCATTCTGCTGCCGTTGTTTTTTGTCGCATACTTTGACACCATTAACCCAAAATTTATACTCTTTTTAAAAAGAAAATAAGAGCTTACTTTGATGGCATAGAGCTTCTCCTCGTAGCTAACTCTTCCAGAATCAGCATTGGCCAGGGTAGAAGCAATATTACCAAGAATAGAACCAAATAACACTTGCCCAGCAACCATCACAAAGCTTGCAAACACTACAAAGGAGCAACAATGGCAATTTGTTTTTACTCATGTAAAAAATGCTTTATAATAAAAATAATAATAACAATAATAATAATAATAATAATTCTGGATTTATATAACGTCTCACATTGTTACAACCTTGAGGCGCTAAAAATCTGAAGGTGAGATTTATCTATTTCTAAAATACCTCATTTTATAATTAATAAATACTTTTCTTTAATGAAGGGATATTAGAAAAAAAAGAGCAGTACTGTAAAATAAAAATATTATATTTTGATATTGCTCTCTTTATTTATGGACTGATAATTTTATAATAATATTTCACCCATGTTTTTCATATTATAAAAAAAACTGGGTATAATATCAATAATATAAATTAATCTGTTCTGATAGAATTTAATGTCCATTGCATGTTAAATTAGATTCAATTTTAGGAAATTGAGGGTTATCAGACAAACCATGGATACACTAATCATTGCATACTATCTTGTCTCATGTTATGAATATAAGCAGGTACCATTCTGCATTATCAATTTTCTAGAACTATAACTATGCTGAATAGGAAATCATTAAAATAAATAAGCTGAATTTGTTTTAAAAATTAAACAAGATAATTATATTATGTTAAAACAATGTTTAACATCATTATAGTCTCCCAACACTTGAGACTGACAACCTACCCATTTCTTCTGGGCTGTAGGCATGTATGTCCCCATAGCCTGTTGATGTGAGAGTTGCTACACACCAGTATATGCAGTCACAGTATATATATAATTCATACAAATAGTCTGGCCTTTTTGAGGCATCTTTGTACCAGATGTCTAAAAGGTAAAATCCCAAACATTTTGTCATCACCCAGAGTAATATTGCATTTGACAAACAAGTAAATAAAACAAATGGTATCATATATGCAATTACAGTAAAACAATAATTGCGGTAATAATGTTTACAATACATCATGAATATTAATTAGGTAATCACATTTCATTGGTAAATTTCACTCGGTACACAAAGCGGCAAATTTGCCAGTGCTTGACACATTTACATGGATGCGGTGAGAGAAGTACTACCCAAAATCACACCCCTGGCTTTGTGAACCATATGCACACTGTGTAATTTTACCGCACAGATCAAAATGGCTAATGTAGATGAACAGTTGGTTGTTTAATGGCGTATAGTAAAACAAATACAACATGGTATTATTCTAGTAAACCAGTGAATTCTACTTCCCTCGTTGTTGGATGATAGGGACTAACTTCGTGTTGGGAGTTAGTCCAAATCATCCAACATCCAGAAAAGTAGAATTAACTACTTCACCTCAAACTATAAAAACTCACTTTCTACAAATACTAGAATACAACATTTTGTTACACTTGTAATATAATACATTAAAGTTAATTATATCACACTGAAGTATTCAAATTAGAATAACATTGACTTAGTCCAATAGGTCCTATGATGTAATAGCATATCAAGTCTGTTTGGCATTCTTAATAAGGCAAAAAAAGTATTAAATGATATGTTTACCTTCAGTGTACGCAGCCCATGAGTCTTTCTTGCATTTCTTATTTGGACAGGCCAGTAGGTACCAGATGCTGGCAAACAAGTGGATGACAATAACCAAAATCACAAAGAATTTGGTCATACGAACATGGAAAACACTGGAACAATAAAATTGTATATTAGCTATAGATTTTGATTGAAAATTAGAGAATTAAAAGGCAGACCATATATTAAAAAGTCAACAACATACTGTTATTTACATAACATCTCTCACCTTCTAATTCAAATATATTATAAAATGTATTATATTGATATATGACAGATATTGATACACTATATGCAAGCAATGACACTTTTATTGTAATGGATATTATCATATATTTGCCTTTTCTCACTTATATCTCAAGTGATATTTTTACCTAATAATTTGGTTTGCCATATTAAATTTAACTGATTTAAGTATGTGATACATATTGATATCCTCGGGAGACATTAAAAATATATTTAAAATAAAAACAAAGAATGTCATAAAGTGAACTGAAAGTGGCAAAAAGATACACAACACAGAAACAGATTTACCTCATAGAAAAAGTATGTAGGCCTGTATATTTTATACAATATTCCCATAGCCTATATCATTGCAAAACTGCAACAATAATAATAATTATAGTTTAAGCACCATCATGTGTTAATATTAATCTCAACAGTATGAGTACAGAAGACTTGATTGGTTATTAGGTCTTGAAATAATTACATTAGTCAAGGTAATTAAAGAACTCACTTGATATTGAGCTCTGTCTCCCAGGATTTGAAGAACTCGCTCAGTCTGTAGAGACGTACTAAATGGATCAGTCGTAGAATAGTTAATGCTAAGAATTTCTGGTCATCGTCACGGCCACACAGAGCAAGGATGTCGAGCGGTAGTGCAGCTATGACATCTATTGTGAAGCCACTTTTCTTCTTTAAGTACGACTTGTAGACTTTGTTAAAATCCCTTTCCAGGTCTCCATATTCATTAGCACAGCTCACATGGAATTTGACATAAATCTAATTATGATAGAAACATTTTAATTTTTAATATCTTCTTTTCATTGTTATCACATTTAATTAACAATGTATCTGACATGTAAGAATTATAATTTTACTATCTACATTACTATCAAATAACTTTTCTTCATAGTGAAAAATAATTTATTTTTATTTTCTTTAAATTTTATCTATTTTTGTAATTGAATTTTTAGTATGTTTACCAAATATCAAAAGGAAAAAATAATAGAATTTTTATGAAATATGATAGGTTTCATTTAATCAATAAACTTATAACACGGACTATTTTTTTTAGATTCAATTACAATACAAATTAGTGTCATCATTCATATTTTATTACGTATTAAAATATAAGACAATATTATCTTATGAAGGTAGCTGTAGGTTGCATGTGTTGATAGGAATGCAAACGTTGACGAACATAAATGAGGTAGAACTTACCTCGAAGACAAACACAGCCTCAGACACATAGCTGAAAACAAGAATGATGTTGCTAGGCACCTGGAAGCAAGCCTATAGATGACAAAGAAAAACACAATTTCAACCCTAATTACTACTGAAAGAAATAAAACACAATGATTTGATGACCATCTCTCACCAGCTTACATCTTAATCAAATTCTATCCCATCTTCATCCTTAATACTGTAAAATACCGTATTTATTCAAATAAATGTCCCACTTTGAATAAACACCCCTTCGAAGAAATTCCCCCTTCAGATCCTCATTTGGAATCAACCCCCTCTCAAATAAACGCCTTGGGGAGTTTATTCTTTATTCATCAAATTAAACAACTCAATGCAAAGGCATCAGAGTAAAATATAAAAAGTTAAATTGGATGACAAAAAAGTCAATAGGACAATGAGTAAGTGAGAACATTAATTTTTCACATTATTTTGATTGGAATTCTGGAAATCTCTAGTACCATAGGGTTAATGATTTGATGCTTGATAATCAAAGGTCTGTTTTTTCCTTGCCATTTGCTCCATTGAGAATACACAGAATAATCCATAAAATATAATATGCATTAAATAGAAAGAATGATGCAAGTTCTTATTAAAACATTTGAAATTAAGATTATTATTGAAACTTTTCAAGTTCATCAAACTTAAAATATCATTAATCACTGAGGTTTGATGTTACAAGAGACCAAAATTCTTCCTAAGTAATTCAAAAGGTCTTGAAGGTTAGTATACAGTAGGTTGAGCACTTCAAACACACAAAAGCTATAATTGAATATTATACTAATAGGGAGAACCAGAGTTTAGTTTAAATTGAGGTACATAAAATGAAGGATGATACAAATCCTTGTCAATCTTGGACATGGCATGCTATCAATGTATTATAGGCTTAAGAAAAGGTCCACATTTTTTATGCAATCGAAAATGTACCAAATATGAATTGTTATTTTCTGTCGTATAAAGACTACAAGGGAATCTTAAATCTAATTTTAACCAGAAATTTATTGTTAGGCAAATTTGGCATTTAAGTTGTCATAGTAATAAAACTTTGAAGCTGTGAAATGTTGTGCATTGTTCTTGATATTTGTCTGATCTACAAAAATTATTATTTATTCTTATACACAAATGTATTGTGTGCAGGACCATGTAGCCACATAAAGATTGATTTATAAATACAGCAAATGCCATTATGCTGCTAATTCCAGGAACTATCAATTAGCAATAGTGAAGAAAGAACTGTGGTAAACAGCTATAACTCATGTACTATACATATTATTACACTGCGTAGATTATCACCCATACAGAATATCTGTTTTCACATAAAGGCATTACAAATGTAAATTAAAGTAAAATGTTCACAGCATAAACATTTAAATTCATTTCTTTGTGTTTAATATTGATGGTGTCACTGTTTCATAAACTTGTAAGATTTTTCATTTTAAAAAAAAGAGCTTACAGAAGTTGCGAGCCTCCACCGTAGGGAACCTAAGTTGAGTCCAAAAGGAATTATACCCCAGGTGTACAAATTGGTTCTATAGTAACATGGTAAATTATTCTGTAGTCACATTACATGTAGCATCACAGAAATTCCCTCAAGAGAATGTAGATTGCACATGCATTGTAAATGACTCCTTATAAAAAAAATTACAGAAGACTTGTCTACGTTGTTTTGTTCATCATGGTATGATAGCCAATACTTAATATGAATCTCCAATTTATAATAAAAATTCATAACTTGTTAATTAACAATCTCTCATTAAAAGATATTCACTTTGCCACATCCTATAAAACGTATTAAACATTTGCTAAAACAAATTTATATTTATTTTTAAAATAATATAATTGTAAAATATTCAATGAAAATTTGATATACAGTGCACCCTCCAATTTGAGACCCCTGTAATTTCAAAAACCTCCTATTTTGAGACCGCTTATTCAAAGAACTAAATAACAACTGTTAATCTTTTAACATAAAGCTGCCTTCTACGTGGAGATTGGACCAAAAGACTTGAATTGGAGGACATACTGTATTTAAATAAGCTTTCAAAAAAATTACCTGATATAAGATTGTCCAGGTGGTGAGGAATACAAGGAAACTCGTCACTCTCTTTAGTACAACTACAAACATACTGCTGGGGCTAAGAACAAAGCGATTGGAATCGAGGAACCATTGCAGATAGTTGCGATTCCTACAGCATCCTCCAGTAGCTGTCGGAGAATCCTCCATGTCAATGCTAGTCTCTTCTGGTATCGTAGGCCCTAAAGGTAATAATAAATTCATTTGTCACTAAAGCTGGGCAACTCACTGCAGGCAATGGTCGTTGGCTCACAAAATTCTATGAAGAACGCAATGCCACAGGGAGCAGAGTTAGAGTGGCAAGCTTAATAATAGCAAATGGGTATGCCAAAATGAACATGTATGATTATTGTTTTTTAACAGTTTATGACATTAAATCCACTTTTAATACATTAATTTTAAAACACTTTTTAATACAGTATACATTTTTATATTATATATTTTAGTACATACTTTTAACACATACATTTCTTATATATAGTATTACTATTATATATTTTATATAACATGAAATAAAAACTATAAAATAAAATATAATTACATTGAAAAAAATATGGATAATTAAAAGAAGACTAAGACTAGTACTTTAATTGATAAAAATGAAGATTATTGTTATTATTATATAACTACTACCATTCATCTTTAAATTGTTTAAGTTCAGTTCAATATTCTGGAAATAACCATAATACCTGCAGCAGTTGCTTTGCCATTAGCCTGTTTGTCCTTCTTTGCATCTTTCTTTTCTTCTTTTGCCTCTTCCTTTGCTTTATTATCCTCAGGTACCTTTAGCTAAAAGACAATCACAAACAAATATTTAAGTATATTTGAAAATAAGATATTTGAAATTTTTTCAATATATTTATATAAAGCTCTGTCTACACTATTTTAGTTTTATTTGGTCAAATTGTTTAGTAAGTTTTAGTTTATCTATATCTTGCCACCCTCCACCCAATGAGTATATATTTATACCTCGTATGATGTTAATGCCTTCAAAAAGGAATTGGTTTAGTGTTGAATTAGCTGCAAGACTAGGAATAATCCTCAGGGACTGAAGGAGTTTTCACACTGCGCATGATTATGTATCCAATGACCAAAAGTAATAATATTCTGTGTCTCACGATAGTGTTCAAAAGAGATAAACTGCTGGATAACATTATTATTTTATTTGAGACAATTACATAAAATGAATATGATCAGAAGTATTTGTTGGTGAGCCTCAGAAATTTGCTAGTAAATCTGTTTTTAAAGAGGTTGAAAGCATACAATATACTTAATGCTACAGAAACATGTGTCCAATTAGAGTGTATATATAGTTAGTATTTGATTCATCTTGGTTCACCTGCAACAAATATTATGAAAACACCCTAAATAAAAATTGTTTTAAATTTGTATGATAGTACAACTTGAGCATTACCGGGCTAATCTTGGCCTTGCTGCGTTTGCGTACAGCATTGATGCGTTCTTCTGCTACTTTGTATATCTGCTCTTTGATGGATGGGTAATGCGTCAGTGCCTCATCCAAGTTATCTTTGTGTAGTGTAAACATGTCCACATTTGTCCGAGCTCTGCAACAACAAATGAAGTACCATTCACTTTACATTCAATAATTAATGTTACATCAACATACTTTATACAATTGTATGGTTTGCACACAACATTAGCAACATCAATGTTTGATATGAGTCATTCATTAGACCCACTGCCAACAATCACACATGACAAATCTTCGATCCAACACAAAAATATACACAAATTAAATGAGCAGCTTAGAAATAATACTAAATAATATTAGCTAACCTAATTTGAGGGGTTCGATCTGCTCATACCTATAGTCTCTATGGTCTAAAGGTACGATACTCGTCTTCATAGCAAAAGGTTGCGGGTTTGAATCCCACTGGAGACATTTTTTTCACACAACTAAGGAACTTTTCGTTGATGGGCCATGATTGATACAATTATAACATTATTTGTTCCTAAAACTTAGCACTGTTTCTATCGTTTACCTAACAAGAAAAAATCTATATTTTCTATTCAACAATATTGTCCATTATTTTATAAATATACAATGAATATTAAAATTATCTACCGATTATGAAAAGTTATGAAGATTTTATATTATGTAAGAAACAATTAAATTCCAGTAATAAGGATGACCAGTACAATGCATATTTAAAAAGGGAGTTTGGGATTAAAATTTTGTTTAGTTACATTTTTAAGAATGTTAGTACTCTATAAATATCTGTTGATTGATTGATTGGTTTCCTGTAATTGCTAACAGAATATTTACCTAATGGATGCTGTTCGTGCACAACTGAATACCAAGCTTATTTCTCCAAAGAACCTGCCTGATTCCATTGTGTCAAAGACAGTTGATCCATCCTCCGATACCACTTCCACAATACCACGATGTATAAAGAACATCTAGAAATACATTACGAAAATATTTCATGTTTGCAATGTTATTTCATAAGTCATGTTTGCATTGGAATAATTTTGACCCAAAGGGTATACTTTACGTTGATAAAATCCGCTGTTGGATTTAAGATAGTAAGTTTTTGCGCATAATCGTATATACATCCTAAGAAAAGTACAGTAATGCATAAATTAACATGTGCGCAGGAAGATTTTAACCGCTACTACATGGAGATCGGATTGAACACTAGCCACAAAGCACAGTGGTCTAGAGGTTAAACACAAGGTTAGTGATCTGGAGGTCATGAGTTCCATTCCCAAATGAATTACTGGCAAGAGATTTTTTGCAAGTATTTGGGAACGTATTGAGCATGCAGTACGATAACATGTCAGGTAGGGTAAAACATCAAATATATGGTTAGTTGACCAAAATTAATCCAATGTGAACACAGGCTTACTCTATTATGGATGATTTTTAAAACTTTCATAATTCTAACTACACAGTATATACTGCCATGAACTGTTTTATGTTTATGTTTTATGAGTTCTGTTTGATTCAATAAAGATACAATAATATTATACCATTAAACATGATAACATTAAAGTTTAGCGATTCTGATGATATGATATTTACAATGAAACCTACTACTGATAATGTCCATTATGATGAAATTGCATAGTAATGTTAATGAAAAGATAAGATTCAATTTTACTTACAATCAAATAGATAAAAATAAAATAATAAATTAAATTTGAAAACCGTAGCAATATTCTTTTAAGCTAGAATAAGTAAAGTGAAGAGAAAATTTATAGAAAAAAGTGAATTGTATTTGTACATTTTTTTCTGATGTGTTTTTAATTTATAATAGAGGGCCCCTGAACATCAGCTGGCCTTCTTGGTCCAGTTGGAAGGGTTACCCTCTATAAATGAATTTTGAATACACAAAAAAAGTGGTATAAGAGAAGATTATCGTGTATTAAAAACACTTTTCATATCCTTTTAAAAATATTATTTTCTACATACTTCTTTTCCAAAGTCAAATTTCTTGACAACATATTCACCACTGAGAAACAGAACTGGTCGCATACACATTGACAACATCTTCTGAAAACCAACCTCTGTGTTTTGGAACAGTGGTACCTGGCAAAATAAATAATAGTAATAATAGCAAAAACAGCAATAACAGTGGTGGATCTATAATTATAAATAGAGGGGTCAATGATGGCACTTTTGAAGATGGAGGGTCTACACTATCCCAGCCCCACCATCAAATTTTATCATAGCTACTCTATGGCACCTCAAGATGTCTGGAAATTGCACTCCCCAAGTGATAAAGTAATTTTTCTCACATTTTTTTAAAATGTTGTGAATTTTTAAAAAAATTTTTGAGGAGTATAATTTCACTACTGCAGCAATGCAACATACAGGCGCAGAATCATTACGTGCCCATTTACACACTTCTTGGTGGAGAGTGTTTAATAGCCCGGTCAGACATAATTGAAATGAACAATCGGATTTGAAACCCTTATCACAACACTGAAAGCCTAGTGAATCGAAACGTTTCACCAACCACTACAAATTAATCAACATATTGACACTGATTGCCTTGCTTCGCTTTGTCCACCTTTTCTACAAAAAGAACTCTGTTCAATAACTTTCACATCTACAATGTAATTCATAATAAGATACCTGAAGGCGCACTGGCGTGGAATAATTATTGTTCAAGGAGATGAAATCGTTATCAACAGTAAAGCCAAATCATTTACAATATAATTGATTATCAAGGTCAACATCAGATGAACATCCTACAACAGAAAATGTAGTATACGTACATGGTCCACCAACTGTGATTTTTTATTTTTTAACCTTTTTAAGCTATTTTTCCGAACGCAATACTCATGAAATTTGTCCAAAAAAAAAATAAATAAATTCACAATGGACATAATAATTATTCTGGGATTTATTGGTAATTCTAACATTCGAAAGTCATTCTAATAAGTGTTCATATATCCTAGTCTTACTAAGGACCTTTTGCATGCATGCGGATGTGATTGTGACACTCAGGGACTACAGTAATCTGTCATTAGTGACTAAATTACCCAAAAAAAATGATCTGATGTTTAGCTCAGACACAGTAAATTATTTTTATGGTTAATTTGCAAGTTGACACTACACTTACACATTTGGGAACGTGATTGAAGTTAACATCAATTATTCTATTTTAATGACATTATTCTTAGGTGTGGAGGATTCTATGTCGCATCTATGAACTTATTAGACGGATCAGCACGAGATTGATTAGTTCAAGTAAGCCACAATACCAGACATTGCTATGATTGAGAATTCCCAGCACAGAATAATGTTCACCATCATTGTGTGCAGCTCCTACCTTTAACATAGTAGTCCCAAAATAAAAGACACTTTATAACCGCAACTTAGAGCGGATAGAAAAACTGCAAATTTTTTTCTAATTAATTTCAAATACAATATCAGCATTTTTCTCGACACAGAGGATGTGTTCAGAGAACGTTGGATGGTTGAAAGTGAATATTCGCACTATAATTGTACCAAAATTTCCATTTGGCCTTCCCATGGCAAAGTCATCTGCATCAAGAAAAATTCTGGACTTTTTTTAAAAAAGCTTGTCTGTGTCTGTTTTTTGGGAAAAAGTTAAAATCTATCAATTTTTTCTATTTGCCCTTAAACTTATTTTATATAAATATTATTATATATATAAAAAAAAAAGCAACCTGTGGTATCCCCCTCTCCTTGGCCTGCCTACCTTATTGATCATCTCCTGGTAAAGATTCAGGGTGACATCTGCCTTAAGAGAAAGAGGCAAGCCATCAAAAAGCGAGTCAGGGTCAACGCCCTTAGTGCGAAGCCACAAGTAGTTGTAGTACGTGATGACTCTATGCTCCAGGTTCTTATCAGATTGATGATCCTGACAGGAAATTGACAATTCAAATGCCACTTAAAGATTTGTACACATTAAGTAACACATGAACTTTTCACATTTCTAGAAATCCAGTAAGAGTTATGTTGAAAAATTGACAAATGCCAATCTCGGCAGTGAATATTTTGATATGAAATAACAAAATGTTTTATTTTCATGTTTTTTATTAACCAAAGGCAAATTTTTAACTTTAAATATGTGAAATTAAACTAATAATAAAATAAAAACTAGTAAAGAGTCCAATTTATTTCAGAGCGGGGCAACAACAATAAATTTTGTGGCCTTTTTAAAAGGGTATAATATACATATTCATTATTATAATATACATATTCATTATTTGTATGTAGACATTATTAACTCCCATGGACCAAATACTCCCCACCCACAAAAACCGTGCACCAATAATTCACATATATATTAGCAATCAATACACAAACTTCATCCACACTCCAATCCACAGCCCCATATACACCTGATATCAACACAGACACCTCTGGATTCCACCTTTCATACACCCACTTCATTACATACAATACTCACATACCCATACTTATAACCTACACCCCACACTTACATCCACAAATACCCACGCAAACACACACACACACACACACACTGAAATTCACACTATTGCACACCTCACACTCACAACTTTTAAAACTTTAAGGCTTTTATTGTAAAATGGATGACCTAGCTTACCTTCAGATAGTGCTTGACTGCTGTTAGTTTCTCTTGGTAGCGGGCACGTTGTGCGTCAGCATTGGCCAAGCTAGCAGCTACGCTAGCAATAATGTACCCAAAGAACACAATACCCATGATCATTGAAAATAATGCAAGCACCATCTTTACACAGAAAAAATAATGTATAATAAGAGATTAATTATACAAAAAAATTATGATCATATACAGCAAATAAATCATAAGGTAATAAAATTGGTATGATAACATGTTTATCAGTGATATATGCGACATCCATGCTAACACCATCAATTATGGCCAAAAATGAGAAATTTATTCATATTCTGCACATTAAAGGCTTTAAAGTGATAGGTCGGTCATTTGATATCAACTTACTAATTGCCAAAGTTCTGATTAACAGTGTTATGGCCTCTCTGTACTAAATATACAATACTGTCGCATTCTTATGCTAATTATTCAGTTAAAAAAATGGCAACAGTATGCTGGTTTTGGGATGACAAGCCTTATATGAAGATGGTAAACATATATTTTTTATCTTTTTATCATCATTATATCATGGATGGAGCAGTTTCTACATACTAAGTTTAATATCAAATATTTACTGTATATCATGGGATTCCTTTAATACCTGGATGAAAATGCATCTTAAGGTGAAAACCAAAAGATTTATCTAGGTTGGTCTCCTGGCTCAGCTGGTAGGGCTGAGCAACCAATTTTATGAAAATTTATTATCATTAAAAAATCTTTTTTAAAAGTGGTTGAATACGTTTTTAATCTACTAATTATAAATTCAGCAATAATCAGGTAACATAATTTTGTTTTAGTTATTTAACAATTAAATTCAGTATTGGGAGTGAACAGAAAAGCCCTTTTACTTTTCCAAAATAGTTCTTAAACTCAGATTATCAAAAATTAATTTGAAACACACTTAAAGCGCTCTCCAAACTATCATTTTTGTTTTTTTACAAAAACTGCTGTATCTCCATATGTAGTCATGATGTGCCCATCTCATGATGTGATGTCATCATGATGTGATGTCATCATGATGATATTAGGGAGCGCTTTCAATTGCACAACGACGGTAGGACGTAGAACATAATGACGTCACTAAAAGTCAGCTGCGCAAGTGAGAACGTTAAGGTCACCTCGTCGAGTAGATTCTGGAATGCAATTTGGTCAAATCTACGTATGCAGAGAATGTAGGATACCAGGTAAGAACGGTCACGCATGAGTGATTTCGTTATTGCGTCCCGTCGTCGCACAGAAAGCTCCCTATTTAAGCTTCTTTTTGTTATATAAAATTTGACAGTAGAGTACATAAAGCCTTACTTCATTCACATTATTTGCGTGAATATCTCCATACCCAACAGAAGCTCCAGTGGCCGATGCCCAGTACAAACTGATCACATACTGAACGCCTATGGATTTTGAGCCTACAAAACAGAATCAGAAGACACGATGCTGTAAACACTTTCATCTATTTCCATCTTTATAAAGTTCATTATGATTGATAAAATCTTCAAACGTCAATATGATTACTTACCAATGAGGCAATAATTTGTTTATCAAAACCCTTCACTCAACATAAACTGAAGTGTTGTGAACACCAGATTTAATTTCATTAAGTGATTATTCAAAAGATTTAAATCAATCAATGAACAACTAATAAAGGTGTCGAGAGCAAACTGCACAATCAAGTTTCATTCAATTCATCATGAAGTAAGTTAAAATGTTACAAAATAAACTGTTAATCAAAAATATATAAAACCAAAAACAATGATTAATAGATCAACAAAATAAAATTGTAAAAATTATTCATACTCTGGAAATCTGTTATGACTTGAGATTTTTATCTTATTTACATCATAATCAGGAACTATGGTGTAGATTGCCTGTTGCAAATTATTTGCACGTGATTTATTTTACTTGGTCTGTATGTTTACCTAGACAGATTTCAGGTATATCTTACTGTAATTTTGAGGGAATTGTAATCTAATGATATTATGCATAATCCACAATAGAGTAGGATGAATAAATGAATATATAAATAGACAGAAGCATGACGCCACTGAATTTTACATGTCTGTGTATCGATTATTCAGTAATATTCAAAAATCATTGTATAACTGCTTATTATCATTTTATACAATATAATATAATGTAAAATCACCAAGAAACAGGTTATGAATTTATTTTTTAATAAACATGAATATTATATACTGAAGATCTATGATCATGTTGATTTTCTAAACCTTTATATTTCATTTGTGCATTATATTTTAATAGTTTTTTTTACCTCTTTTATCATTTCTTTCATTTTCTCGTACTTTAATTTATATTTTTACCAAATCTGGACTTCTTGGGAGACAAGTATGTCAATTGTATTGAAAGAGCTTTCCACAGTAAAGAAACATTGATATTGTATCGTATTAATCCTTAGGATGACTGTGGATAGGTTCATTTTTCAAAGGAAAGATGGTTGAACCTTAAAGAAGTTTCTACATTTGCTTTGGATGCACATGTATGTGTACCAAGTACAATTTGATTGCCCACCTCCCAAATTGAATTTGTGTATTGTGTATTCTACCTGATGGATCACCAAAATTATACTTAATCATGTGATTTTCCAAGGTCAGAGCAAGAGAATCTTTAAATGTTAAAAAAAATCGATTTTACTCTTCCAAAATATCAGAAAGGACATGAAATTGAATTATTACATAGCCATATATTTTATGAGTAGTTATTAAATAAGTTTCTGAGTCTGAGAAATAAACTTATATTAAAAAGATAATGATTCTTCAATTCAGAGGGAAAATCTTTCATGAAAAAAATTTAAAAATGAAATGTAGAAGACAGCAAGCAGGAAGTGTTTGAAATAATATTAAAGATTTAAATATATTTCATTCATTATTATTATTATTATTATTATTATTATTATTATTATTGGTATTATTATTATTATTGTTATTATTATTATTATTATTATTATTATTATTATTGTTATATATTCAACAAAATTCTTCAAATAAATTGAGCATAGTATTTAATGTAACAGCAAATACAATAGAATTGTTTATTGAAGGTCAAGATTTACATCTATTAATTGTTAAAAACTTTGCAGATTTTATCAAATATGTTATATAATAATAAATAATACTGTTCCTTTCTTAATCAAAGAAATACAATTAACTGTTAGATACCAAAGTATTTTTGTTCCCTCTGTTTTTCCTTAAATCAGTTTAAATGTATCCAAACAAATTATCACAATTCAAAACAACAAAAGTATCTGCATAGGTTGTTGTATGTAAAATTTATTTAAATATATTGTATATAAGTAAATTGTTATCAATCACATTATGGAAAAGGACAGTATCATTATCAATTATTATTGAGCAGAACATACAGGCTTCATCATTATAAGATTTTGAATACTGACAAATTATTATTATAACTAATCATGATTTAATCATTGTATTGTTTTAAAACTGAAAGATTTTGTGAATAACAACCATTACAATGTAAAGGTTATACATTCACCAAACCACATGTGCATTAAAACAATAATATAAAAAATGTTAATACAGAGTTAGAAGAATAAAGCTACAAATGTCTACATTTGAATTTATATGCAGACAGGCAACCATAAAACCTCAATAATTTTAGCGGGGAATATTTTTATTATCATACTCGATAATACTATAAAAAAAACAAACAAGATGAATAAGCGAGCGTTCTTTTTGTGTTTCATATTGCTTCGTTCATCAATTATATCTATTTATATATTTTAGATTTATTGCGTTAAATAAAATCTTGTTACACAATTACCATAGTAACTATAAAATAAAGGCGACAGCCCCACATAATAATATATCTGAACTAAGATTGTGAAACTTACCAAAATCTAAAGCTGTATAGTTTGTCCAAGAATTCGTGTAGCAGTAGTGACTGTTGGTTTTGAAGCGGTCATCTGGAACTTCCTTGGTGGTGATTGGTGGGCATGCGTTAAAGTACCACGCACAAGCTAGTAAGTGTATGAAGATGAGTAGGTAGAAGAGGAATTTCACCTTGCGGATTGAATCGGTCTCACGCTCCACTCCGGACTCTAGGTAGTTGAATGCCAGAGGCTACACAGTGATAATAATAATGATAATTATAATACAGATTGAACCAATGAACAAAAGCCAAGAGCGTTTATTATTCCTTGGTCATAGGACAAAACTACTAAAAAAAAGTTAAAAATACCTTACTGTAAATAATATTAATATAAAATATATAAGTATATATATATATATATGTCTTTTCATGTACAAAAAAGTAATGAAAAATATATATACATGTTTAATTATAATAAATCCGGACACCCACTCTGCCCGACAGTCGTTAGCCGACGAGATTCTATGCAGAACACAACACAACAACGCGCATTAGACAGATCACTTTAATGACGATCCGTTGAGACTGCCAATAGGGAACATTCTAATTGCGGGATGACGCAACGCCAGAACGGATTCACTCATGCGTGACCGTCCTACGTCCTCTGCAAAATGTAGATTTGGCCAAATTGCATCCTAGAATCCACGCGACCATGAGAATTCAACGTTTTCGAATGCGCAGATGAATTCATTCGATGTCATTACATTCTACATCCTACTGTCTACTGCCATTGTGCAATCAAACGCTCCCTACTGACAATCAGCAGGCGGCATTACGTCGTCTAGCAGGCGGCATTACGTCGTCTAGCAGGCGGCATTACGTCGTCTAACACTCACATGGTGCGGAGTTGGATTTGTCGTACAGTGCAGCGAGTGTCGGCTTAACAGCTTGTTCGTTTTTTTTTCTTTTTTATTCAAATTCTGATTTGATTAATTAAATCATCAAGATCCAGAAATAAAAGTTATTTCGAAATCATAAAAATATAAAATATACTTGTGCTTAGTCTCCCCTACCATAACATTTAAAAGGGGATGTTGCAAACAATTAGAATCAAACTAATATAAAAGATATATTTTTGGAAACTATCTTTTGTTTATTACACCTTCATAAATAACAGTTATGTTAATATATTCTATTTTTGTTGTATAATATATAATTTTATTGTGCAGTTACTATATTAAACATAAAGGTACATACCACTCTGTACAGCTGTAGAAGGCGGTTCAATCTAACTAGGGCATATATATGCACAGAGTCTCCTAAAAACAACAATAAAGACAAATAGTACTTTCACAGAAATCATTATATGAATGATGTACCTATAAAATAGAAATTTATAAATCTCAATTGTAAAATCTATGTCATGCAAAGAGCATCTTTTTACGATTGTATTCTCTGCTCATTCTTAGCAATTTGAATCAATATAAATATAGAACAATTTTAAAATAATCATATGAATGTGTTTTAATGGAATGTTAAAAACAATAATTATGGTTAAGCTACATGTTTTTTAATAATAATAACTATTCTCTATAGTTTGTGGCTTTGTCATGCACTTTTTGTAAATGTAAATGCATTGGGTGCAACTCTAAAGGTTTGGCTAAGAAACTCTTTGTATGAGCCTAATCTCCTGGCCTCTGGGGTATTAAATATACTCTCACAGATTTTTATCCAAGTATAGAGACCATCTCTTTATATTACTACCATAGCTATGTATTATTACAAGCTGTGAAGATTATGATTATGAACATAGCTAGTGTAGTATTTCGACATCAATGTAAGTTACGTCTGACAATATCATGCCTAGCAACAAGCGTATCTGGTTTGCATCAAATTAAGTGCGCTACATCCATCCATCCAGGGTAGCTTTAAGTGCGCTCCTTCTGTCCAGGGTTGCTTTTCTAGATCACAATCTTTTATTCTTCATACTCATCATGATCACTTTGTACAAAATTGATTTTTTTTTTGTCTTCTATCAGTCCAATACTTCTCATCACAAATTGGTGTGTTAAAATTTGACTTCTAGTTCTCAAATTAAAATACATTAAAAAGCATAGCTTAAGGTAGAGAGTATCATGACTTCTGGAAATAATAGTTGACCTGTCCCTTGCATAGTTTTTTGTAGTCTTGTGAATTTGATGAAAATAATGGATGGTCCCTACATTCATTAATTATGACAAGTATTTACATAGTGCACCATCTTATCTCTCATGTTGTATCTAATGAATTTATTCATAATGGCACATTAATAGTACCAAATGGATACCTGAAAACGGTAAAGAAACTTTTTAGATTTAAGTTTTTCCTAAAATAATAATGAATCTCCCTCTAATAAATTTTAAAAAGGCATGTAACAAAAATGATGGATTTAGAAACAGCAATCAATATTGAAAATCAATCAATCAGTTATATTTTTTACCCTTTTATGGTTATTACCACCAACATTAATTACTTCTACATTATTTTTAATAATAATGTTTGGTTTTTATAATCAGAAGACCGTGTCAAAGTGCTTGAAACATTATCACGCCTGGTCATTAAATTATCATTGACAAACTCGCAACACGCAACATCCTCCGCTCTCTAGGGAGTGTTTCATGTCTTGTAGGATTACAGTACATTGCACTGTACAGACCTACACATTATTGCTTTACCCAAACAGTATCCATTACTGAATAGAGAAACAAACATTTGTAAAGTGCACTATGCAAGGACACAAAGTAATGCCGACAGCTTGGGAGTTAAACCTTAACACCAACGTGCGAATCTAGAAGTCTTGAAATGGGAGGAGGTCACAGAAGTGGAGTGGGGGGCCCTCTATAATTAAGTGAGGGGGGGAAAAAAATTGCAAAGTAAGGTGATATGAGGTAATTTTTAATTACTTGAGCATGATCGGTTGTGCTTTGGACATTTTCAATAGGGTGGTGACTGGGGGATAGAAGGTTTTATATTTTTGAGGGAGTGACATCCCTCCCCCTCACACCTCTTTTATACACCACTGTCACCAACCCCTCCAATGTTCACATCTGTTATTTAATATCAGAAACCTTATGAAAGAAGTATAAATTATGAAAATAAAATAAACACAACTGTAACCTAAACATACAGCAGGAAAAACTATATCTTGTTTAACAAATTTTATTTCGGAAAGAGGAAGGAAAATACATCTGTCTCTTATACACAGTTTATTGAATATAAAGGTACAATATAAGTCTTGCCTACTTACAATGCAACAATAAACAGATTTCAATTTGTATAAACTCACCTATAAAGCTTCGTAATACTGCATAAGCAATGAGCTCGGTGGGGAAAATAGCAAGCAGATCAATAACAAAATTGGTCCTAATAAAAAAATATATGTTGTTTAATGTTTGTTATTAAACAATATTATCATTATTGCTTAACTACAGGTCTCCCTCTAATTAAAGACCACTTCTGGGACTGTGGTCTTTAGCAGCTTTGGTCTCTAATTAGAATAATAAAGATAAAAGACATTTGTTGAATTGGGAACACATAAAAGTGGTCTTTAATTGGAGTGGTCATTAATTGGAGGGAAACCTGAAGTTCCATAATACTTTGAATAGCAAATATTTCATTTTTTTTAAAGAACTCACTTCAATCCATCTTGTACATCCAGCAATGGCAGATATGCATAATAATGCAGAAGTTTATTACTTATATTTTATTACATGCATACTGGTACACACTGGCCTACTTAAAAGCTATATAAATTTTCTAATTTGTATGTTTGATAAAGACATGAATATGCTACTACACAAATAGTGATATAAATTTGTATAATTTATTATAAATATTTGATCTCTGTCTCACATAACCCACATGAACATCCAATATATTGTAAATTACTTTCATTTATAATTCAGAAAATATGTTTTCTAGCAAAAATCTATACTTTTATATCAATTACTGTTAGTGACAACATTTCTTATTAGAAGGTGCGATCAAAACAATCTTACAGAGTGAAATACCACAATAAAATACTTACAAAAACCATACTATATCTACAAAAACAGAATTTAGTAAAATGTCAACATGTATAAATTATAGGCAAAACTTGGTGCCAAGAAGATATTCAATGATACAAGACACATTACTGTTAATTGGGAATTGCATACTCTCCAGTTTTTAATTCCCATTGTTCTATTTTTCAAGTCAGTACTCGACTGTAAAATTTAAGTACAGCCAATGTGGTATCAGTTGCTGTTAGCTTTGGGGTTGAATAGGGCTGTGAACTGCAAACATTTAAATGAGTTTTTAATTGCGTAGGCCTAAACTAATTAAATATTTTAACCATTAAATACATTTTTTTTCCAAACTAAATCAGCTCTAAAGATTCATAATGGTACACAATACAGTACAAAAGTACACACATACATAATGCTCTGTACATACTAACATGAAATTAGAACATTTTACAGATGATAAGCACACATAAGCTTGATAAAATAATCAATTTAAATTAAGCTACGAGGCAAAACTTAATAGATCAGATGCTGTATACATTACACTGTAGGTGTGTAAGAAGATAGTACACCATATTACCTCAGTGTTTTTCCTGATGTTTTGTTCTTTACTTTTTTTTCACATCTACAAATGACATGCTTATCAAACATGCAACCTTCTAGTCTCCACAAGAATAAATGAAAAATTTATTTTTGTGGAGATTAATTCATAATGATGTACAATTTTTTTTTTTGGTCATACCTCAGTTCCATACTGCTTGAAAACGCTGTGTCTCATGAGTATTACTAAGTCTTACTTCATTAGTTCAGAGCCAATGAAGAGTTATTTGTACAACTAGCAATTATACAGAATATTTATCAATAAAAAATGACAATATGCAATTGTTTTTACCTTAAATAATGTTTGGCCGTCGAAAGTGGATGCGTTACTTGTACATTGTTTGAATTATTGAAAGCCATGTGAAACTTTAAATACCTACAGTATTAAAAAGAACACATTATTGAAAAGTATACTATCAACAGTACCAAATTAACACTTTTATTGCACACATTACATTGATATTTGAAAGATGGAAAAATGTTTGATGAGCAATTAAAGCTGAGTCCACACTATCAAATATTATGTGACAAATAGCTAAGTTGTAGCAAAAATTGAAATTCAAGTTATTGGTATTTTCAGATACCTAAGTATGTGATCTTTAAAATGAGGGGTCATTCATTGAAATTGGACATTTCAAGCCTGAGTTATTGGAAAGTGAAAGTACAGTACTCTTAGAGTCATGATAAACATGATTTTGAGTAATTGCCTTCCAAAGTTATTTGTGCATACATTGTTTAATAGAATGAACTATCAAAATAACATTAAATAAACAATTTGTTGACCACTTAAAGAACTAAAACTTTGGTACATGATTAAAAAGATATTAAACTTTTGATCTATAATAAAAAACAAATTTGGATTTTTAGGTTATTTTTTGAGCTTCCATATTTTAAAGCTCATTTACTCAATACTGGCCAGTGCGACAACTTAACCATTTCGCCGCGACATGCCTCAAATGTGCGTGATGTGCCCATATATGGGCATGATGATATCATATTACACCCATATGGGCATATCACATTAATGACACTACAGCAACTGTAGAAAAATAAAAAATTCAATGTAAATAGAAAATTTTGCCAATCCACCAATTTCTAAGATCATTCTATTTTTATAGCCTCGTGTATTTGTACTGTAGTATACATGCTCAAAATGTTTAACTATTGATTTTATGACATACTTATTAAGAAAAAAAATATAATTTGTTCAATAAAAGCAAGAATGCTGCAAACTTATTTCAAGTCTAATCCAGGTCACACTACTGAAAATATTCCTCACGCCATGCCTTAAAAGGCCTACATTTGCATCACCTCTCTGTTTATCTTTGAGTACTATATTGTTTTAATCAATATTTTTGCAATGAAGCATCAAGTTTTATGGTGTGTATGGTTGCAGCACCAACACCAATTTGGAGACTGTAATATCGGATTACGGAGAAGCTGTAAATTGAGTAGTCAACTCCGCAAAAGTAGGACTTTTGAAAGGTGAAACGACAGTAATGACTAGAAAATAAACAAGTAGGCAAAGTAAAGTATCTTTGCATTTCTAACATAAACTAAAAATAGGATTAAAATTCACCATCATTTAAAACCACATGTGAATTTCTTTTAAAGAAAAGATAATTTTCTACTGAAAGATGAAGAATAAAATTTTAGGAAAAATTTTTTTTATTAATTAAAATAATATAATTAAAAAATGATCGAATAGTTTCATTTGGTTTTGTATCGGTATGTCTAATATATCTTCAAATGAATAAAAATTACGGTAGTATATCATATTTATACCTCCATGATTAGGTAATTAACAGATGATATTTGTTTATATATAATAGTAGTTTTTCGCATTAACGGATGATAATTTTTTTTGTATAGTTAAACTCACATGTCCACGTAGCAAGTAATGTCCAGTGCATAGTTCACAACCCATAATGCAACATCTGTATGCAAGAAGCATGCTTGAAGCGTGATGGTGAAAGCTGAGATGAGAGCCACAGCTACACGTAGTATCTCCCACCATTTGCAGAAATTGCCTTCAGACAACAATGCACGACTGTGGTAACAAAATGCCAATGTTAAATTAAATTAAGAAATGACCTATGATTAACTTTCTTACAAACCTATATCAATTAAAGATGTACTGCATACCAAAGTAATATGGAAAAAACAACAAAAAAATCAATAAAAATTTTGAATATTTCTTTGAAAAGAATTTAAAAAGTTATTAAACTTCCAACAAGAAACAAATTGACAAAAAAAAAGATTTTTACGCTGATTTACAGACATTTTAATACAAAAATCTGTTAAATTGATTACTACATCAGCAAATTTCAGGGTCTATGCAAAAGAATACAGAAAAATGTATTATTTAACTCTCAATTAGGGTATAAAAAAGGTCTAGCCTTATGATAACAACACATTTTTTGAATGAAGAAACAAAATACACTGCCTTGCAAGACACTGAACAAAACACAATTCAAAACCTTGGCATCTACTGTAGGTAGACACTGATGCCACATAAATAGTCCCATCATTCTCCTCGTTATTCTTCCCTGGTGAACATCCTTTACAATCAGCATAAAATATACCAATAAATTTTTCATAGTTAACCTCTTTCACATTCTTACATAATTTAAGGGAATGAATACTGTATCATGTTTTACCAAAGGATAGTTTTAGGGTGAGAAAAGGAAATGTGAAGAAAGAAAAAAATACATTATTCATGAACAAAGCAAAAATCCTCTTCCTTTAATACTTGTCATTCCTTCGCTTATTATACATAACATTTCTTTGAAATTACGCATTTTGTTACGTATTGAGAGAAAAAGAAAATTAGTGGCTACTCTACGTATATTTAATGCCAATCTTTAATGACTTTACACCAATCTCTAACAGTGTTGGGATATACACATTAAATAATCTCTTAATTATTTTATGTGTATTTGCAAACTCAATGTAAATGAACCTTGAGACAGAAACTACAAAAACCAAGTATATCATTAGACTTTGACCTTTCAAAATACACCATTCCCTGCTCATTTGAATTGCAGTAAAAGCAATATTCGTATTGAATAACAAATTTGTTTAGGTTTTTTATCTTTTCAGAAACTATAATTCTATCCAACTACAGCGTAGAGAAATTAATTCATGTATAATATTTAATTGTTTTTTATACTCAACACTCAACAGAGAATAATCTAGATATCCCGTGCATCAGAATAAAACTTCCATCTATGATTTACTACCAAATGAATTAGTTGAATAATTAAAGAAAGCCGACATCACAAGTCTTGTTGATATAATGAATCATAAAATATCTTACATAGAGCATAGAGCATCTTGTCTATTAGAGTTCTTAACATCTTTTTCATAGATATTCATATACAAGTCAATAGAATAATGCATAAGTTGATATAAACTTAGATAGGATTTAAAGACCAGCCAAACTTGGGCTTTTTACAACATTATACCCAGGGCATAGGCTGATAACTTATTTAGTATTTTAACGCACATAGTGGAACTAATTTGCTTCCCCTCCCGCATCCTGGTCTACACCAATGATGCTGGGCGGATTAAGAATTTTTTAACAAAGTGGGGACGAATTTTATATAGCCGGGCCTACATGTAATATCATATGAATTTAGTATTTGCATGCTATTTTGGTTATTTTTCCATGAAAAAAATAATAGGCAACAATGGCACCTCTCTAAATCCGTCTCATCATTTTCACACAGCTGCAAAATACTATATATTTCAACGAAGGAGTAAAACTACTCTTTACTCCATGGTATAGCACATTGAGGGACCTTGATGCTATTTTAATTTATGAAGTGCAATAAGAAAGCTAGAAGGCAATACTGATATTATGCATATCTCGTTGATTATTCAAAGCTGAATGTCGCAAGTACGTGATGTCATATTTTGTTGGGTATATCATCAATCACAGAAAGCAGAAAATTTGCACAAAGAGAACTTTTAGGCTAACCCAAAGGATATTGTGATGATCTTGTATCTTTGGTGACAATGATATATTATCTTTGCAATTTCTTAAATGTCAAAAATCTAGAATTGAGTTTAATAATTTGCTTAAAATATATTTACTGATTAATTAATTGCTAAAAAATAAGATTAGACACATAATGTACTGTACAATGCACTGTGTGTTTACACTACCCTACAAAATTGTCAGTATGAATGGTATGAACATGGAGGTATGGTAGGATGTACAGTAAAGGGGCAAATAACTGCATATTTCCAATAGCCATGTAAACAATTGAAGTGGCAATTTTTCGTAATATCATCGACCAGGATGGGGATTGGGAAATGGATCCAGGGGCCGAAAAGAGATATTGAGTTCCTTCAGGCAGAATTGAATCAGCATTTTGATCCAATACGCCAGATAGTTGCTTTCATTGCAAATGACACAAAATCCAAATCCGAGATAACTAACCCTAATTGTCAGTGTTTGCATGCACTCAAGTAGTGGCCTAGTTACTTTGTATATTAAGTCTGTCATTATAACCTTTAAAGACAACAGATCCAATAATTTGACCAGTAAAAGCCATTCAAATTGTCATGATTATGGCTACATAGAATCTACGTACTGAACATAGCAAGAGCGGCGAATAGAATTTAAAACCAGGGGTCCACGGTTCAGCGCACACAATATAGATACCACCAGTAGCTGAATGAGTTTAATCATGGTCTAATCTACTTTCTAATATATATTAATATTTGATACTTCTGGCAAAAATATTGTGTTCTATTTCTCTGTCATAAAGGCCTATTTACACAGAGAGCGACACAGTGGCAACAGTCACAAAAGCAATCCAGCCGTGACTAATGGTAACTATCGTGGCTTGTTCTGCAGTCTCTACAGTACATGAGGGAAGTTAGTGACTGGTCAGAATATCTTTTGTTGCGCGACAGTTTTTGGAACTTAAAATTATTCTATCTAGGCGACGCATTGTTTTGTTGCATACTCGCGCCTTGTTTGGTGTAGATCACACAATAGATGAAGAGCATAATAGGCTCTATTTTTTCTAATGTTGTCGCTTTCTGTTGCCACACTCTGTAAATAGGCCTTTAAGTAGCAGAATTCATGAAAAAATAGCAATTTATATATAGTATAAAAAAACAGGCACAGACAAGAAAATTGTGTCAAAAATATTTAATACTATTCTAATGCTCATAATAAGAAAATTGTTGTTTAACTTTGCCACAGTTGTTCTGTACTTGGGACACACATTCAATTTATTTATACGGTACATGTTTATTAATTGTCTTGCACTGTACTATATTATAATGAACATAACAAATTATTACTGAAATGTAGTGCAACTAAACAATATCATGTAACACAATGAATCACTACCAGATAATTAGTAAAACAACAAAAATTACACTTTTGATGATTTCATTCAAAATATATGTGTACACTGTAGCACACATTTACATAACAAATCTAAAAATAGGCTGTGAACCTACCTCATTAGAAGTTTGGAGAAGATTCTGCCAAAAATGTTTAACTCCCTAAAAGGATTTAAGTAGTCCTCAGTGTTCCTGAAGGCAAAAAAAAATGTTAATTTAGTATGAAATATTTCTAAGACGGCTAAGTATCATGAAAAATTTAAAATACAGTACTATGTTATCAACATAAAGTTGCTTTTCTCAATGACATGTTAAGCTGGGCACACACTGCATTGAACGCAGAACGGTCATACTACCGTCGGCTGACAAATCCGCCATTGATAATTGACATGTCGACAAGGACGCGAAGCCTCGCCCACAAAGTCACGAAAACCTTAGACAATGGCGGCTAGACTTTCCGAGTTGGCAAAGATTTTCTTTGCTATCAACTTTCTTTAAGAAAGAGAATTCAGGGTAGGCGGTATGTAAATGAATCACATATTCATAGTGTTAATCTATTTCATGGAGCATGGCGGGGAAATTGACATGTCGACAAGGATGCGAAGCTCAGCCCACAAAGTCACGAAAACCTTAGACAATGGCGGCTAGACTAAACGAGTTGGTGAAGATTTTTTTGCTATCAACCTTCTTTAAGAAAGAGAATTCAGGGTAGGCGGTATGCAAATGAATCATATATTCATAGTGTTAATCTATTTCATGGAACAGGCAGGGAAATAATTGTAAAAGCCTCTGTATTTTGCTTCCAAAGGAAGAGGGAAAAGCAGCATTCAGTCAACCTCGTTGTCGGCACTGATGCGCACTGCTCGTATAAATCTGGGTATCTATAACCAAGCATAGACATCTAGGCCTAGGCCCGCGTATGTTTCGCATTGACAATCAGCTGTCTAAGGAAATTGAGAGGAACCAATGAGAGCAAAATAAAGACTAAATTGATTCTATCACTGATCACTCTTAACATAATGCAGCCAGGTTCTTTAGTAATTATATAGCATGATCAAAAATGAGCTACTCTAAAAAATTTTAAGCTAAAATTCCAAGAAAATAATAACAATAACAATAATAATAATCATAATAATAATAATAATAATAATATGCGCTAATTCAGACTTAAGGGGAATATCTGTGTTATTTTCCCCTTAACGTCATGTTATTTTCCCCTTAACGTGGTTTTTTTTTAATTGTTCTCTAATTTCTGTATTGTCTAAGTTCCCCTTAAGGTAGGTTTTAGTAACAAAATTTTATAGTCACAAAGAAAAAATGTGGAAGAAAAAAAAAAATCTATATGTTACTCTTTTCATTTTGTTTATTTTATATATTTTTCTCTTATACACATCTAGATGTGTATAAGAGACAGAGTTTAAGCACATGGAAAATTTCAACTGTATCATGTTGCATTGTGGACAATAAATATTCCTTGATTCCTTGCTATGTTGTATGCTACTGATACAAAATTGTATGCTACACTACTTCATTTTAACATACTCATCATCATTTATTCTGCATTACTATGCAACATTAACTTGGTATCGTGCAGACTTTTGAAACAAAATTCAATCATCATCAAGTTCATTATTTTTATTGACAAAACCATGGCGCCAATGTTATCTACCTAAAGAAAACTTATGGGGAAAATCAAATGAAAATCAATCGAAGTAATCAATTATTTACAATTAATCTGATAATTAAAATATATTCAATTTTGAATAACAAAATAAAAATTTTTTTCATAACTTGCAAACCTTCTAGTACAGGCCGGTTCACTAAAGAATAACAGGCTGAACAGACTTACAAATATTCAGTAATGTTTTTATCTTCATTTAAAGGAGGTTTTTAAATGAAGGCTTCTTTATGGGACCAAGGAGGTCCAGTATGTAATATACTTAAAGAAATGCAAACAGAATTCCCTTGAAAAACTGGATGCATAATGACCTGCCACTAGGCAGATCTCTATAAGTAGATCTAAGTAGTGCTAAGTTCCAGTGTAGTGATTTCCTACAGTTATACATATTTATTATAACATTATCTTGGATTAACTTACACATCAAAAATCTTGACGGATGCATTGCTAGGTTTATGTACTTTTGCTTCAAATGACGTGTCTTGATCAGGATCAGATGTGGCTGAGAATGAGAACAAATTAGGACAGGCTGATCCATATTGATGCGAGAACCTCATTCCAAACAGTCAGATAACTGCATGGAATCAGGTCGTTTCATCCATTCTACCGTAGTTTATGTCTATATATATATATATATACATCTGATTTTCTATTTCTTCTAGTGTATGAGATAAAATTCAGATACCACAAATATAAAAAACCATTTATATATGAAATGATGGTGAAACATTTGTAAAGAACAACATGTAAATTAAAAAAAAGCATAAAGGTAAAAACATAATTGTTAAATGAGATAGAACTTGGATGACATAGAAGTATCATGTTATAATCCACAATTATTAGAAATTCATGTACAAACATCATTATGGATTTTAAAAAGTTTCATCATAATGACATCATGTATTATCTGAGGAAATCGAAAAAGAGAATAGAACAGCATTACATAAATGTGCAAAAAATGTTGACCGAGGTTTAAATTACTAATTTGAATGAGCGAATATGATAGATTACGCTCTAACGTAAAGTCAAATCAGCAAAACAAGATTTAGGTAGATGCTGCGATTAGCGTTCTTGATAATTCTAAAGACACCTACTTTGCACTTCCTGGTTCTCCTTTTGCTTGCAAGCCTTCTGCAGATCCAACAGATGGTTTTTATTCTCCGCTGCCTCCTTGAATTGCCTGAGGAAAGACGTTATATCATCACAAAATCAATCATTTTACTCAAAATAGTTGTTGTTTGCTTTTTTCTTATGTGCGTAAGTTCATTAGATAAGTTAGATGCCCACATCATTGACACCTGTGAAATCAATATCTGCCCCGCAATTTGCCAACTGGGGGAACGATGTACGTTTCTATTTCTCAGCTGTTTTTTTGTTTTTTTGTTTTTTTGACAGATTTTAGTCTTGGTCAGTATAGGTTATTTCACATTTCATATTTCAAAAAAGTGCCCTAAGATGAGATTTCTTGTGGAAGGCGCTACAGAAATAAAAGACAAGACCATACCATTATTGTTGTTTCTTTTTCCCTGCAGTATTCAGTCAACAAAGGGTAAAAATTTGGTAACCATGGCTACAACAACTGGCTTTTCTATTGGTGATTATATTCAAAGTGGTGACAACAAACATTCAAATTATTAGTAGGGAATAATATTTACAAGTAAAATTTGAGATGATTATGATAATTATGGGAGTTGTTAATGGACATCCTAAAACATTGAAATGACAATGATAATGGTAAAAGACAGTGAAACATGTTGACCTAGGTAATGTCAAACATGATACTTAGTAAAATTATGCTTTGATATATCAGAATATTTTACTGCACTTGATGGAAATGAAGATGTTAATGATGACAACAATGATCATAATATTTTTATATATTTCATTTAGAATTTATATAGTGCATATCCATTTCAGAAAGAACTGCAAGGCACTTTTTCTTCTGAACGCTGTATACAAGTGAGAAATATTTCTATATACGCATGTAATTCTGCACCATGATACTTCCCCAAATTATTCCCATCTATAAGTAGATACGCATATACATTCTGCTGTCTTCTCTTTGTCTCTATGGTTGTTTGATTTTGTTAGTCTTAGGATATTTCTCGGTTTTTTTATTCTACATCCAAGACTTTCAAGCGCATAGAGACTATTGTAATATGCGCTTAATAAATATACAGCCATTAGCATTACCATTACATTGTCTACATTAAAAGTCCAAATCCATGCTGCTGCGTCACACAGCTTCTAGCAATATCTGTCCCCAACATGATCAAGAGAACTGTGACTGAGTTTGTTTAATTAATGCAAAAGTATTATACTTGCAAGTGTTATTGACCAGAAAGCAGATACATGGGCCCCTCAAAGGCCCCTATTGATCAGCTCACTGGCATGCCTTTGAACTGGAAGGGTCACCCTCATTAAATATGATGGAAATTTTTTAAAAAAATTAAAAACTATCCAAATATTTACTTACTATTTTTTGTTTAAATTGTCAGCATTATATTATTACAATTGACATGGTTTTGCAGTTACACCAAGTAACATGCAAGTTAAATTTTATTTTGATAGAGAAGTACTTTAAGAAATACAAGATGTCACATTATATTTGTTAATGTGTATGTGAAAGTGATGATACTTGGATAACAGTTTTGCAACAAAGGGAAAATAAATAAAGAAAGGAGAAAAAAATGCTTTAAAAATCATATTGTCGGTCAGAACTGATAACAGGGTGTACTGAATCATTCCCCTGTGCCTAAAATCAGCTAATCCTCAACACAGATGGGAATGCTAAAAAAAACAAAATTAAGTAAATAAAAGGATAAATAATCCTTTCAATATTCTTAGTAAGTGATTCAGATTGGTGGAAGCTGATAAATTAAATACAGTTCTAAATGGGTACTTAAGGCAATTACATGTTTGATTGTGTTTGATGAAATTTCAATAACCTTGTTTGTCTTCAGTGTCAAGATGGCACTTGGCTTCATCCCATTTATCTTCAAGTGGTGTGAATGTGGTGAATGATACCCTTGGTTTTGTACACAGCCTTCATGTTCTTATTCATGTGTTAAAGTCTTTTGTTTCCTTGACAAACCTTGCCTTGGGATTAAACTAGTACAAGGGGATTTGGAGTAAAACCCCACACACACTGATTCCATGATGCCCATAATGAAGACATGTGCAACAAATCCTTTGGAGTTAAACCCATCACACACTGATTCCATGATGCCCATAATGAAGACATGTGCAACAAACCCTTTGGAGTTAAACCCATCACAAACTGATTCCATGATGCCCTTAATGAAGACATATGCAACGAATCCTTTGGAGTTAAACCCAGCACACACCGATTCCATGATGCCCTTAACAAAGACGTGCAACAAATCCTTTTCAACTATTAAGACATCCAAACTAAGTCACTGTTTTAAAATGACCTGATTGTCTACTTATTTCGTATAGACTTGAGCATTATCCGCTGCAGTAGGCCTACTTCATAAATGATTTGAATACTTTTCAAACCCAACAAACCACTAACATTTCTATTTGCAGCTTGTTTTAAATGTATTGTAGCATCTCTTGCCAGTAAACACCTTTGCTACAATCCACTCCTCAAAATACCATTAAATAATATCTTATGCAGCCTTTGTTTAGGTAGTCACTGAGTACTATTCACTTCTCTAAAGACCGGGCTAGCCACACAAAGTGAATTGACTGGATTTAGAACTGATTCCGTTCAAGAAATCTGGCATCAGCCATTAAGTATCAGATATAGTAGAGCATAAAAACTCAGGAGGGTCCAATGGCACCCACAAAAAATGTTGGAAGAGTGTGCTTACGAGATTTGAGCATTCTTGAAAATGATCAAATAGATCGAACATTGAATCTCAAAATGTCTCTTGTCTCTTTTCAGAGTTACTGTCTTTTTGTTTTATGAGATTAGTGCCCCATTTAACGACATTTTCAATACGTCATTGTGGACTGCCAAAATGCCGACACAATGGAAATGTGAGAATTTAATTCCATTACGCAAAACCAACCCACTCTCACTTCATGCTTTAACAATCTCACTTATCCCAACATTAGCAAAAATTGTGGAAAAATTGGTTTCTAAACATATTATTGAATCAACCAAAGCAAATATGGTAATCAAAAGGCCACGTCAACCACCACCTGCCTGATTGATTGACATATATCAATGAATGGTATCTCATGCCGAAAAGTCAGGAAGCATCAGCACACTCACTGAACGCATTCGATGTTATAGACCATACCATTGCTTTTATGAATTGCTAGAACTGGGTGTGTCTCCTATGGAGTGGGTGGTTGACTTTATCTCAAAAAGAAAACAGAAAGTATGTTATAAAGAATTGTTTTCGATATGGATCACATTATCTGGTGGAGTGCCACAAGGTATGATTTTGACGCCAATCATCTTCATGAGCACCATCAATGATGCACATGTTGATGAGAAGCGGTAATGTACATGTGTGGAAATACGTAGACGATTTGACCATAGGTGTTTGACCAGGTAAATGTAGATTAAATAGTACACCCAGTAGAGTTAAAGAATTGCCATCTAACATTGGAGCAATAAAAACATGCTAAAGCTTAATCCCAATAAATGTAAGGCAATGACGGTTTACTTTAGCAAACAAAATGTGCAACCAATTGAACTTTTTTTAAATTGAGAGTCACCAGCTCCAAGTTGTTAACTCAGTTAAAATTCTTGGAGTTATGCTGCAAAGCAATTTGAAATGGGATGCTCAAAGTCATGATATTATTAGTAGCCCAAATAGAAAACTATTTATGATTAGAAAACGTAAAAAGGCAGGCCTTAGTATTTAAGAATTAAAAGTTATTTTTAAGTCTTACCTTAGACCCATCCTTGAATATGCAGCACCAGTTTGAAATGCTGGTCTCAATATAAATCAAATTAATTGTATTGAGAAAATTCAAAATAGCCTGTGTAGATGTACTTTGGGGAAAAAACTATACTTGATACAAAAACTCTCTTAACACTCTCGAAGAACATAGAAAAATCATTTGTAAACAGTTTGTAAACAGGGCATATAAAAACAATGAATTCCAGGAAAATGGTTTCAGCAACATTGTGACAATATTATACTAAATATTAGACTAAACTTCATTATTATAAAACCCGTACAGTACATCCAGATTTTACAATAGCACATTAGCTTACTTAACCCCATCTCCTTTAACCAATGAACAAGCAAGTAATTTTTCTCCCCTTTCCTCCTCAATGTAACTTGATACAGCATCATGTTTTGTTTCCTTTGCCAATTTTTGGTGTTTAAATTTTAAATTGTAAAAACAAAAAATTAAATTTGACTTAAATATATATTTTTGTAACAATTCCTAATGTATTTTTTGTAATTGTTTAATGTTATATTATTTAGTAGTAACGATTTTTTTATATTATTTTATGATATTTGAAATTTATATAACAGATATCCTTAATCCATAATGTACTCTCAATTTGAGAATTTGTATATGCAATTGTTTAAAAATTTAGAGTAACAATTTTAATATATTTTTTCAGTAATAAATTTTCATGTTTGTTGATATTGTTGTGGTGGTTGTTTTTAAGTAATTTTTAATTATATTATCATGTTTGTAAACTAATGTCCCAATTCAGAATACGTAAATTTTATTTTTGTTAACTGCGATGACATTATGTTCAATAAAAGGTACCAAGATATAAAGATAAAATTATAATCTTGAAAGTGATGTGTTATGAACTGGTAACCAGTGAACCAATGAGAGTAAAAGTAAAAGTGTGACTTGGTCAAATTTCCTTGCATGGAATATGAGTTTTGCCGCCCTGTTCTGAATAATCTGGAGACGGGTTGTGGAAAAACCTTCTATAGTCTTTTGTTCTTTTTGTTCTGTACACTTGACTTTTTTGTTAAATTTTTTACCTTTTCGTTAATTTTGTTTTCTTATTTTTGCTTTTTCTTCTTGCTAGCTTTCATTTTACCTTTCTCTATATATGTCATTTTCGTTGCTGAGAAGTACTGATTGTATAAAAACAGAAATTAGTAAATTTCATAGCCAAAATTTACATTCTCCAATTCTCTATCAATCTGGTTATTATGTATAATTATAGACGAATTTTTGTAATGTTGATAATACTTAGTTCATCTTCATTTCCACAAAGATGCATTAGAATAGACATCTTACATTCTCCTTCAACAATCAACATACCCAATAGAGACACATGCCTAGAGAAAGACAACAAATGACTTGCTGTTTCCATGGGTTTCATAGAGGTCAATTGTAATTAGTAACTAATACATCTCTTGTGGTTGTCATAATGCCTGCACTTCCAACTGATGAAGTTCCTAAACACTTAATCAGATCATCTGCATGTCTGAATATAGGACTGGCTGTTTTTGGAATGACATTGAGTAATTACGTATGGGTGGTGAAACAAATCTCTATAAAGAAGGAAGTTGATGGCTAGAATAGTTATGAAATGCAATTGCTTTTAGAACTAAGACTTAAGCACTATTATTATGAACATTACTGATGAAGCTGCAGTCATTGCATGCAGTCCTCACATGAGACTTAAAACATCTTAAACAGAAACCACTGACAGGTTTTAGAAGGTTAAAGGTTATGCATTTATACCGCACAAAATATGAGGGTCCCTATAAGCACGTTATATTTTCATTGTGGATTTTTTGGGCTCAGTACGGACTCCAAAAGTATGCATTTTCTTTCAGTTTTAAGGCGTATGCGGATTTAGTAAGTCCGCAGTGACGATATAACGTGTTTATAAAAACAAGTAAACAGATGTAATTGGAAAAACAAGGATAGAAGAACCCAGAAGAAGTTGCATACATAGTCTTCAATCATTGATGCATTATGACGAGTTACCACTTTTGATTACTATCGTATTTATTTGAACAAACGCTAGGGGCATTTATTGTTGAGAAGGGTTTTCGAGGTGCCATTTATTCAAGGGAGGCATTTATTCGAGGGAGGCCTTTATTTTTTTGGTGGAAGATAGATACGTATATACTCAAATAACGTCAACTGTGGATATTTATCGTCAAACTGTGTTAATGCATGATCATAAAGACTTACTGATCCCAATCATGATTCTATCATGACAGCTATGGCACAGGGAACTGATGTCAATAAAATCAGCAAAGAGATCAAGAGGGAATAGAAGAAATTGGAAAGAAATGTCCAGAAGAAGATGTCTTGGCAGGAATAAAGTAAAAAAGGAATGAATAAGTTGTTTACTGTAAAACAGAGTGTGATATTGGTCAAGAATTATGGAATTATTGGCTTGCCCCCATTAGCAACCATTACATGGTATTACTCATAATTACTTTATCCTCCTGTTTAATCTGATCATGAAAACCTTCAACAAGAAATAAAATATTATAAGCTATTTTATAATTAGCATTATTTTTTATTACTTCATGTTCATAGTTGCCCCTGGGTTTGCAATTTTGTAGAATTTTTTACTGTACTGTACTGCAATAAAAGTATGTTTCAAATAGTGCATTGAAGAGAAATTTTTGTCTGTTGCATTTTACATTTGCCACACATATGTAATGGGCCTGAGACACCAGGTGAGACACGCAGTTGTCAACGAGATGTTGAGTCTATATGGAATCATGTCGGCCAACAACCAGCAGCGCACTGTGTGCTGGCTTTAGACAGTGGATTCACTAGCCGCCAATTTCCAGATCCTCCTTTTGAGAGAGAAGTTTGTTACTGTGGATTAAAAGTGAGTGTAGAGCTTACTTTGCTATCAAAGGAAAATGGTCGAGTACTTCATCCAGTGCGGGTCTTTGTAACATCAACACCTCGCAGTAAGATGCAGCGCGTACAGTTGCCGTTCGGTAATCGCCAAAGATCAATCCAACTTCTCCAAAGTAATGGCCTGGACCTATGGTGCTTACAACACGAGTCATGTCTTTTGACAAGATCTATAGTAGTTGGATGAAAAAAAGGATACAAATGAGATATGTACTTTTAACTTTAAGCCTTTCATGATTTCAAATTGCTATTGATAATCTTTTTTCTTTTCATTTATAAATCTGTATTATGAGGTTTGAATTCAAGTAACATTGTAATGTTATGAGAAGATTTGGTTGGGGGAAGAATTTTTAAAGGGGATTACAGGAAGAAAATATGCAACCTCAATACATGAAATCATTAATGATGACCTACTGGATCACTAATTATCAGGTTTTTTGAGTTCGCTTGTGGCCTGGCTTTAATAGGTACTCTTAAGCCAGGCACTCACTACATTGTTCAACTGTCGGACCGACGAATCAAACTCCTCTCCCTGTGAGCATCAGACGACGCAACACCGTCTGCTGTTTGTCGGTGGAAGTCTGTGGTGTTGCATTCTCAATCGAATCGCGTCTGCCAACAATCGTTGGGTGCAGTGAGTGTCTGAGCTTAAGGCATGACAGGCTAGTGTACTTTAGGGAATTTTACTCTATATCATGATTCATCATAAAAATAGTTTTAACTGAGAAGATGAGTCACAATGACATAAACAATCTTGATCTCACCAAGGTCATGTCATACTGCTCAACATTCTGCACTGTGTGTACCACTTACAGAATGAGCAACTCTGGATGTTTCATTTTCAACAAGCATTAAAGGCAAGCCCAAAATTTAATATGGATGCTGCGTGTTGTGTGAAACAATTATTTCATTATTCTATTATATTTTCTATCAAAACCTGCTTCAAGAGCGTAGGGCAAGAAATCAGTGGAGTCAGATATCATTTTATGCTGCTCTCCGGTTGTTAGTGCACAAAGCACCATGAGCGCCACTTTGGGTGGAGGATACCGGTGCTATTACAAGTTTTCATTTATTATTATTATTATTATTATTATTATTAAATAATGCATTAAATGAAACAACCTGTCATATTTACAAAATATTGTTTTTGTGAAAAGATTATTTTTTTATATTTGTAAAATATAACAGAAATCCCAACATATCATTATATTTTTTTACCTTATTGACTTATATAAGAAATATTGAATCCAATAATAATTTCTATTAATTATGCATACTGAATACATAATTTTCATCATATATATATTGAATCCTGTATAAATTAATATTTCCAGTGGATTCTAATATGTTGAGTACAATTAAAAAAACATGTAGAATCCTGTAGGAAAATCTATACACTATTTCTACTGAATCCAAACATGACTTGTATAAGACATTTCTTTATAAACTCTTATAATAGAATTTATAATTTTGCAAATCATGCGTGTGGGTGTTTGTCAAATACAATTAGTGTATTGTACTGTATAGCGAATCTACTGTTGATATAATATTTGACAAAAGATTTAATTAAATGTTATATTGTACCAAAAATCTAAGTTAATCATTACTTGAACATTACTGTAGCAATTTGAAAGTTCCTTGACCACTGGCTTAATCTCTAGAATGTTTGAGTGGGGATTTTAAAAAGTTACATCTATCGATCAAAATTTTCAGTTCAATTGAGACCAACATAATGCTATTCCAATTCCTATTATGATTCTTAGAATAAAGCTTAATGATTACAAACTATAGTTGGGAGGCAATCTCTGAAAACTAATGAGATGCTAGTAGCAGAACACTTTTTTCTCCTAAATATGAAACAGGTTGATATCACAAAGTGCAGTTTAGGTTTTCTCATAAGTTAAAGATATTAGGATTATTATTAGTTGTGCTTCGTAAAGCATAATATTACTAAATGGTTGCATATTGCTAACCTAACACTAAAGTATTGCTTCTCACCATATGCTGTCATGCAACATTAAAATTGTGTTCCTACATAACAACCATAGATAATTATAAAGGTATAAAGGTGTGTTAAGAAATGATAATGCAAAATGTACTGTACTATTGTCAATGTCTATTGTAGACATATACTTCTATTTATACAGCTAGGCCTTGCATAGCACTGCAATCATTATAATTTAAAACAAATAGGTGAATAGGTCTGCAATAATATACCAATAGGTCCTGGGGTCCTAAGGTATAATGCTCAATCAGCTCTCTATTTAGAGGTTGCAAGTTCCAATCTCTGAGGGACTATACTTGGTACAATGATGACATTTTTTTTTTTTTTTTTTTTTTTTTTAACACTGTTTATTCACCTAGGATAGAGAAATGCTTACAGAGATAGTAATAATACATTTTGTGAAAAAGCTTTGTTCCTATCAGGATTCAAACCAAAGACCCTCTAATTACTGTTCGGTTGCTTTCTGACTGAGTCCTAATTATTGTTATTATTAGGCCTACTACTTTCATTACTGCTAATCACATTTGTCTAATTAAAACAATCAATTTAATTCACATGCTAAAGCAATCTGGTATGGTTGCAGACAACCTTGATACCCTTCTAAAATGGTAATTAACAAATCAATAACATAACAGAATATTCTAATCAAGGTACATACACAGTATAGACCCATACACTTTACAGTCTTGTACTCTCCCCAAGGACAGGATTTTAAAATTAGACCAACTCAAAGAATGTATATTTAGGTGAATGAATCAACAAAAGACTTTTAAAATACATTACTGAGTGAGGGGAAAATGCTTGACTGCAGCAAGTCCTACTATAAAAGCAAACCCACGCATTTTCTTTCTTAGCTTAGAGGCAAACGAGGATGGAGATTGAGTTACATAATGCAATGTGTTCATGGTTGTCATTTCGGACTTAAAAGCTAAATATGTACGGCTGATAATCTGCAATGTTTTTGAACGTATTATATCTGTGTTTTGTTTTCACACTGACATATTAATTAGCACATTGTTAACTTAATTTTTGGTTTTTGTTATGCTAACAATTGTGGTAACAACTTTTACGCTTGAAAAAACTAGTCTCTATGCCTTGAGGCAGCTCGGTATGCATGCTCGCGCAGCTGACTATGCTCATTTAAAACTACGGTGATTAACCTTTTCTAATTTTTCTTTTTCTATTGTATTTCTACCCTCCTATTATACTCTTTTCTGGAGTCTAACCTGAACTTAAGCACAATTTATTTTTTTCAGAAATACGGTATATTTACATTGAATTGGCTCAAAAATATTACATAAATTTTCAAATTTTAGTTTCTGAATACTTGCTAAAAGAGATCATCTGTATAGTTTAAAAGAAATCAATTGGTGGCAAAATATTAGGCAGAACATCAATCTATTGAAAAACGACCAAAATAACACAGTCAAGAACATTATCGGTAATATAGTTAACATAACAGTAGCTCAACCTTTGTAAGAAATTTAAACCTATAGCTTACTAATCAGTTTTTTTTTATATGTAATACCATATTTCAAGAGGGTGACCCTCAAACAATACATGAGGTAAAAAACACTTTAACATACAGTAATTTAAAATGTTATAAAAAGAATTACAAAAAAAGTATAAAATATAGTTTAAATTTTAGCTTTAATGTAGCAAACGTAGTACAGTTGAACTTGCCTAAGTCGAATCCGAAATGCCATTGAAATATTGTTCGACTTAGATAAAATTCGACTTAGATAAAATTCGACTTACAGATTGTTAATTAATGTAAAACACAACAATTTGGCATGTAAAATAAAATCGACTTAGAAATTATCCGACTTAGGCACAGTCGACTAAGGCAATTAAGATTAACTGTACATAAACGAATAAAAGTTTGAATAGAATTATATAAATTTGGACCCTCATAACTAAAACAGCTTTTAAATATTTCACAATGTGGTCTAGAAATAAAATAATTGCCGTTTGTAATTGCAAATGTTGTGGGACAATTGCTTGAATGGATTCTGCACATATGTGAGGTCTCGCCACAAAATGAGTCTCATGGTTAGAAATTCAAAAATTGAGTTTATATTTTATTTATAAGCTTTCATTTGGTCTTTGAATGGCTTCCCTACTATATGTAAATCCAGAGATGTTAGCATTTAAAGTTTAGGTGTATAAGAATCACGTTTTAAGAAAATCAGCCTCAAAGATAAACTAACCTATACAAATAATATGACTAGAATGACAGAATATGTGCAGAGAACACTGTTTTGGCAAGAAAATTCACTTACAAACTATACAATCATAAATATAAGTATCAAGTTATTCAAAAACATTAACATCAAAATTTTGTAAAATATTGACTTTGGCTTGTTTTGGTGAATATCTCAATATGATTTCACCAACGATGCGTCTCATTTCGTGGTGAGACCTCACATATATAGCTTGGTGCAATATTGATGGAACACTAAAAGCTAGACAGCCAAGTTGGTATTGAATGCGTTGTGCACCTGTCATCATTTTTATGGTATTAAAAAAAGAACTGGTGGGGGTGTGAGGCTGAACTTTAAAGACAGTTCGAATGGCTCTATTTTGAACCTTTTGAATTGTATTCATGTTACTAATTTTTTGTTTTATTTGTCTGGTTTGTTTTAGTGTGACAATACTTTAAACTGCATTCCCACACTCTTCTGATTACAACCCGAGAACAGTGATCACAACATCAACTGTGTTTCAATGGAAATGAAATTACTAGAATACTATGCGAATATTATTCCTACATTCGCCACTCTTACAATTTATGATACTGGATAAATTCATAATTTATGCCCTAATGATTTCTGCTGCAAAGTATTTAATATTGAATAATATTGAATCAACCTCTTGTTTTGAAGTATAATTAATTCTTCACAGTTTTGTAATTCTTCAAACTTTTGTAATTATTGTAGTTATAATTTGATTTTAAGTGCTGCCTATATGTCAAATTTATGACAGGTCGATTTTCATCATAAATACCTTTTATAAATCAAGACCAGTGATTCGTGAACACTGGCTGGCTGAGCATTAAAGCGCTTTCCATGACATGTGCAGTTGTAATCTTGATGACAACACTTGTAAGTTTGTTAAAGCAACTTTACAGTGATACAATTTGCAATTTAGCTGCAGCTTACAATTATCACAAATAAATTTTACACTTTTATACTTTTAATTGCTTTAATTTTCAGTTAAACTTATTTATTTTTTAAATGGTGGTTCATTTCTGTAAGAAAAAAAATATTATTCTAGCCAACTATGACTAAGCAAAATGACATTAAAATACTATAACCCTGAATTAAATCATTTTAATGATGAATACTCGGCATTGTAGTAGGGCAGTAATTTACTTTGAAATATGTGCCTTACCCACAAATGCATGTGTTGATGGAACATATAAGCTTTCATATTTTAGGACCTTGGCAACATTACCCCTGGGGTAGAGCTTAGCAGAAAGTTCCATTTACAGAACAATCAATCTACAATGCTGTTCTTTGACAAGCCTGTTTACAAAAAAAAATATCCAATCATTCTAAAAATTATATTGCACAAACAATGTAAAAGTACATTCATTTATTACAATTAAGTTTTACTTACTTCACATGTACCGCGCCTTATGAAGTACATTTCCCTTCCCATATCACCCTCGTAGACTATAACATCTCCAGGCGTGAATAGATAAGTGTGAGTCTTGAGGGCGAGCATACGAACAAACGCCTCATCACAGTCTTGGAACAATGGCACCTGGGAATTGAACATTATTAAAAAAGAAATTAGAAGATTGATCTCTACCGGAGGTACTGTATACATTGATCCATAACTAGGTAGCAATACTCGCTAAAAGTCTTTGTACTTGTGAAGATACAATCTCACAGTATTCCAACCAATGAGATAACGAAGAAGCCTTCATCAGGCTCCATTTATGTTTTTTCGACGTGTTTTGCTCATTGAGGGGCCCGTTCGGCCGAGTTGGGACCCAAAGTCCTGGCAAAAAAAAGTGCCTGCTTTAGCCACTGGCCAAATCCATCAACAATCAGTGACAGTGCCAGTGAGTGATGAGGGAGCACTTCACCTGTCAAACAAGCATGAACCACCTGTTAAGGCGGTCATTGGAGTAAATATGTTAATTTTCCTGTCTAATAAAAGATATTGTCAGTTCAGTTCCCTCTACAAGTACTGTAACATTTTTTTCCATTCTTAACTCGTTCTGCAGTGAAGGAGACCCATCCCTTTAATACTCACCAGAAATTTTACCCAAAAATCCTGGGTTGCTACTTCATTTTGACCTACCCGGTGATGTACTTGTTGGGACCGTGTCGGCAAATTGCTGGCTCCACCATATTAGGTTTGCAGGACATGGTTCCCTCTTTGAGGATGTTGGTAGAAACATGGAGGTATTATTGAGAAGGAGATCACTTGGCAACAGATCCCTTTGAAGCGACAAACTAATGTGTTCCCCGCCTTTAGATTGCGCACAGGCATATCATCTTATTATTAACATTTTTTCATTAGCAACAATTTGGCAACGACATGCTTTTATACGCTTCAACACAGTAGTTGTGTGATAAACTGTTTGATTTTAATTCATTAATAATCTTCAAAATTGACAATGTTTCCCTGATGTTCTTATATGTATATTTCAGGAACAGAGTCCGCAAAATATTTCTGTTACAATTACTTCTGTGTTCATCATAATTTTGTCTAAAGATCTATTGGTTCATCTATAAAGCTAAGGCAGCGTAAAACTGAAAATTACACTGATTTTGGATTGAATTTTCAAATAGTCCACACTCATTCACACTAAAATGACTTAGTTTATTATAATCCTCTATCATTCCTTAATTAATATCTGCTAAAATTAGAATTATCAAGTTTTATCCAATTTATGGAAAGTCAAGTTGAAATATGCCATACTTTTAAAGCTCATGTAAATGTTCCATTAAATTTGAAACTCTTTTTTGTAGAAATATATGTTTGGTATTTCATGAAAGATACTGTAAATGTATTAGCATCAAGTTGGAAACAATTGTGCTGCCATAGTGACTGTCTATAAGTAGTGCGCATTGAGAAAAGAAGGTGCTCTCCATTTTGCCATTTTCAATTTTTTGGTAATCTAAGCCTGCTGAGCATTTGGTGGCGGGAAACACATTAGACTTCAAATGCATCGCGCAAACGTTCTTCAAGCACTGCAGCAGCTTCGTTCTTGGCTCATTTCCATAGCGCTACGTGCGTAGAGCTCTTTCGAGTGATCTCCTCCTCAATAATACGTCCATGGTAAAAGCAAAATGCTTTTGTACCAAAACTTAAAGATACCAATTTTTTTGATAGTATAATATACTAATTACAATGCAATAATGTAAAATAAAAGGTTTCTACAGTATTTTTATATATTTAAATAATTTACATCAGATCACACCTAATCTCTCACAAATTGTTTTTCAGGATGTTGCAGAACCAACTTGGTTTATTTAAAAAAGATATACATTTGCTGGCATACTATTTTTTCTTTTTACATACATTTTACTGTTTCATCGTCATTTTGAATGCCTTTTGAATTGTAAGTAAATACCTTAGATTTGTTATTCTAAATAATCATGATTCATATTTTTTATCTAGACATCTTGGGAGACTAGTAAAAATACAATGAAAGAGTATTTTCCATAATTTTGATCATTATGTTGTAATGCAAGTTGTTGGCTATTCCGTTAATTCAAGAAGATCTGACTCATACAACATTGCAGTGAAAAAAATAAAGAAGCACGAACTCTGAAACTATTCACGTGCGAGGTTTGCACGTAGTTGTTAGATATGTGAAAGCAATGTAATGTAACAAGGTCATATCTGTCAAGTCTCAACCTGTAACACTGACATTTGGTCAAGAATGTTGATATGAGAAGATTGTAAATAGCACTGTTCGTAATTATAAGTCTAACATACAATGATCACTTTTATTTTGCCACACCTTATAAGAAGATGTACTACAATAAATAAAAGAATAAACAATAATATACCTCAATATACTTTGTCTTGTTATAGAAATACAACTTAACAATTGATTATTCAACATTTATATATTATAATCTATTGGGATTTCTTCCAGTGGATGCTTAGTTTATTTTGTCATTCTGATCGGATTTTCTCTACTGTTCCGTTTTAATTTTAATTTTAAATTGTTTTGCATTATATGGCCGTTTGCTGTTTTATGGGTTTTTCCCATTTGCCTTTCAAACTATATATATATATATATATATATATATACTACTCCTAACTAACTCATAGGGTGAAAAATCCTTTATAGATGTGTATAAGAGACAGATATATATTCAAAGCATTACTTCCTCCATTGTTCTCGGTATATTGTACACATAATTATATGAATTAATAAAATGTTTACGTACAGAGATAATCTCTAAATCTGCCTTGCGGTAATGCTATGAATATGTATAAATTGCAAGTGGTAAAGAGAAGGAATCAAAACAAGGAACCAAAACAAGTGTGAACAAAAATCACCTCAACTGGGATTCGAACACAAGACCTTTTGCTGTCTATACAGACACAATGTTTTAACCAACTGGGTCACTGGGCCTTGCATTGAAAGGCAATTGATTTCACAATTTATAAGATATGCAGACACAACACTAGCTTTCAATGCACACACGTAAGAAAAGAGATCAAAGTGGTACACACTTTCGTCTTGCAACGAGCGGGCCGGATGGACGAGTACATCGAAGTAAGCTCCTACTCTTCTTGATGGATGTGCTTGGTTCTTTTAAAAACACAGAAACCAGTTGTGTACACTGGACCTACAAAAGTTTATCCGAGAAAACAAACAACTGAAACCCAGAGACAAAAGTGGAACATAATCTGTGTGTTTATGACTAGCCATTTAACTACATGCTTAACTACGTTGTACCTCCTTTGTGTAGGGGGAAGCACCTTATCCTCTTTTTAAAAAGACCAGGAACATTTTTAAAACCAGAATTCGATCACTGAAATAGTGCTCATGGATTGAGAATAACACACCATTCATCAGTATTTTGCAAGCAGAAGTGTGCATTCTCTATAGATTCAAACTAAATTAATAAGTTTCCATCTATTCGGTCATTATACTTCCATTATCAGACAAGACACATCTAACAGTTATATGCCTGCCTTCAATTAAAGTAAATTAGTAAGTCAAAAATTCTGCTCTTCACAGTGTAGCAACTCTCAAACACATCTGTATATACCATTGTATATATGCACAGCAATATTGCTGAATAACTAACATATTATCACCATGTTTGTCTAGTATTGTGTACACATTACATGACAACCTCATCAATTTATTAGCAGTTGTACTGTATCTACCTCTGGATTCTGTGATGAGTGTAGGAGAAAAGTAATGTCTAAACAGTGTAGCCGAGATGGGAAAGAAACATGTGGACATGATCCCTTTATTGTTATGAAATCTGCAAATGTCACAGGTTTTTTTTATGTGTATTGGAATATACGGTAGTTTGGCAATAATTATCAATATACAATAAAGAGTATTTGCATTGATAAACTTGAAATTCAATCACACAGTGAATTTAATGAGAGAAACACTCATTAAAATTTATAAATTAATAAATTAAATATGATTTATGCTGTATATGATTAATAAATAAATCTTGGATGTTGATATATCATTATTCATAAAAATTACATAATCTATATACATGTGTGTATAATTTCATAATTTATATAATACACTACATTAGAACCCTTATTTAAGGGGGACACGTTCGGGACCAAATAAAGTGTCCCCTTAGTAGGGTGTCCCCTGAATAGGGGTTGGTCATGTTAAAAAATATACTTTCCCTTATATTTTGGCCATAAAGTGTCCCCTTAATAAGGATGTCTCAAAGGAGGGGTTCTATTGTAATATAGTTCATTATATCATATTAGAGAACAATAGAAATTAAAAAAACACTGTTACAGTATTACTTGACAAATCATAAAAACATAATTTATCATTAGTAATGAATTTGTTTATATTCCAATATTGGTATGCTTTAAAAATTGATGTTAAAATTAGTGGTTATTGTTGGTTTATAGATCAATTACAGTCGGTATTCATGTACCTTAGTTGCTGTGAAAACATGGCCATCAAGACAATATAGCAAAAACAAACATACCGAGCTCAACATATCTGTTAAGAAGCTTTTATTATGATTATTCATAAACCGACCAATCACGAACAGCTAATACTCAAAGGCTGTGTTCATTATCTTTACATTTATGTAAAGATTAATCATAAGTTTATGTTCATGGCAATTTGATCGCCGTTATCGTGACGTTGAGAATCATTTCGGAGGAGATATGCCCGTAGTTGGCATTTAGGAATCACTGTTGGATATACTGTTTTCAATTATCTATAGATAAGTTATTCCATCACGTTACAGATTCTTGAACACTTTTGTTTTATTGCATATTGCCTTCTCCTCAACTGCCATCTGTATTGTGTAATCAATTTTGTTTCACTACATTTATTTACCTGTCGACACACAACATGCTGTAGAAATACAAAGGTGGGGGTAGTAATTAATTAATTAGTAAATCTAGCCCTAAAAGATGGTAATTTTTATCAAGCATACCACATTAGCATAAAAATATGAAATGCCTGTTCCTTTCTTTCTTTTTCTTTCAAGACATTTATTAACTTCCATAGAACACAAAAAGATGCAATACAATATGGTTTTTAAAAAAAACGTAAACTATGG